TTTTATAGATCTCGGAAACTTAAGCCTCATGAGCTTAATTATCCAACACATGATTTGGAGTTGGCAGTAATGGTCTTTGCCTTGCGTAATTGGAGGCATTATCTGTTGGGTGAGTCCTTCAGATTATTCAGTGATCACAAGAGTCTGCAGTACTTGTTCACTCAGCGGGAGCTAAATATGAGACAGCGCAGGTGGTTGGAGTTTGTAAAAGACTATCATTTTTCTATACAGTACCATCCAGGGAAAATGAATGTAGTGGCGGATGCACTCAGTCGCCGACCTGTTGGTAGTCTTTCTGCTCTATTCACTACTGAGTGGAATGCTTTAAAAAGTGTGGATGAGTTATCGGATGCTTTTATGGCTTGCATGGTGGTTACACCTTCCATCATTCGCAAGGTTTTACAAGCACAACTCACCGATCAGCAGTGTGTCGACAAGGTTGCAGAGATAGCTTCCGGAGAGGTTCCATTCTACTATGTTGGGGCTGATGGATGTTTAAGGTACAAGGGACGGTTAGTGGTACCTTCTGCTGATAATTTGAGAAAGGATGTGATGACTGAGACTCATCACTCTGAGTTCTCTGTTCATCCAGGAGACGATAAAATGTATCAAGATATGAAGCGGCAGTTTTGGTGGGCAGGTATGAAGAGGGACATTGCTCTTTTTGTTTCTCAATGTAGTACTTGTCAGATGGTTAAGACTGATCATCAGAGGCCGCCAGGAGCTCTACAGCCACTACCAATTTCGGAGTGGAAATGGGAGAGCATATCTATGGATTTTGTGGAAGGGTTGCCAAACTCAGCTCATTTCTTGCCTATTTGCACTGACTACACTTCGGAGCAGTTGGCGAGGCTTTACATTTCAGAGATTGTGAAGCTACATGGCATTCCATTATCTATTATATCGGACAGGGATTCGAGCTTTGTATCTAGATTTTGGAAGAGTTTTCAGCAGGCTTTAGGTACGGAGTTACACCTTAGTACTGTTTTTCATCCTCAGACTGACGGACAGACTGAGAGGGTGAATCAGATTATGGAAGATATGCTTCGGTCGTGTGTTCTGGATTTCAAGGGCCACTGGGAGGAATATTTGCCACTTGTGGAGTTTGCTTATAACAATAGTTTCCAGAAGACTATTGGTATGGCACCATTTGAGGCATTGTACGGTCGACCGTGTCGGTCACCTGTTTGTTGGATGGAGGTTGGAGAGAATCGATTCTTAGGTCCTGAGTTCATCAAGGATACCTCTGAAAAGATTGCTCTTATTCGAGATCGCATGCGTACTGCCCAAAGTAGGGAGAAGAGTTATGCTGATCGTCGTACTCGGGCTTTGGAGTTTCAGGTTGGGGATCAGGTTCTACTCAAAGTGTCTCGTATGAAGGGTGTTATGCGCTTTGGGAAGAAAGGGAAGTTGTCACCGCGATTTATTGGTCCATTCATGATTACGGATCGCATTGGAGCTATTGCTTATCGGTTGGCACTTCCGGATACTTTGGATCGCGTCCACAACGTGTTTCATGTTTCCATGTTGCTGAAATTTCTTCGAGATGAGGATCGGTATCAGCATATCGATGTTGGGGAGATTGCGTTGCAGCCGGATGGAACTTATTTAGAGCCACCGTGTCGTATTGTTAACCGACGAGATCAGATTCTTCGTAATAAGGTTATTCCTTTGATTCGTGTTCAGTGGAGTCATCACAATGAGTCTGAGTCCACTTGGGAACGAGAGGATGTTATTCGCTCACGGTTTCCTGAAATATTGGAAGAAGGTAAGAGTGAATTTCCTTTTGTTAGGGGGGAAGAATGTAACCATTTAGAACTAGCATTTGCACAATATTGATGTGAGTAATATTCAAGGTGCAAAAGTCACGAAACACATTATTATAGAGTTTACAACAAATATATCAAACACTTGGTATGCTTATAAACTCTAAATGTGAAGGATGTGTTGAATATGCATTTTGTCAAACACTTGGTATGCAACATAATTTTAGCTATATAAAAGGCTAATAGAGAACATATACTCTAAGCTAAAATCAATCAAACAATCAACCTACTCCAAGCATTCATCCCATCCTCCTCATATATTCAAATTAACATGTCCATCTCATAGCATTCATAAATAAAGTATTAAGATTATGAAATAGAAAATGTTAAGGAAATAAAGAGAGTAAGAGTTAGAGAAATTGCAAACCAAAGGACACGCGATGTACATGGTTCGGCGCAACCTCGGCCTACGTCCATGCCTTGAGAAAACCTCTCAAGGATTCCACTATGGCTTCTCCTTACGGGTGGAGAACAAACCTTTACATGTTCTTACTTGCGGGTTAAGAACCGACCTTGTAATGAAGCCATCTTACTTCTCATTCTTTTGATGGCTAAGAAGGAACCATTGCTCACTCTTGTGGGTGGAGAGCTCTACCAAATCCTCTCATTAGAGAGACACCTTCTTTCTTTTACGGGTTGAGAAAGAGAACCCTTACAATAGCTTAAACAAGTTTTCCCTTGCCAGGAGCATCTCTTGGTCTTCTTCTTTCAAGAATGGATATATAATGAAGCTCACAATGAATGTCTCTCAAATAGACAAATATACAAATCAAAGCTCTCATACTTAGAGTTACAAATGAAATAATCAAATGAAAGCTCAACTCTAAGTTTGTAAGATGAATCACATGATATGCAATATATTTCAATGGTGATTCCTTGTATGGACTACTAGAGCCAAAGCTCCACAAGGAGAGGGAGGAACTAGAGCAAAAACTCTGTAAAAGTTCCATTTAAAAGCCTCAACCCTAAACCAGAAAACCCCAACTCTATTTATAAATATCTGATATACAATATAGCTGTTGGGCACTCAGTTTTAGCTGAAATAGCCGTTTGAGTTTGAATTCGCGTTGGTTTGGTCGACCGAAATGAAACACCCTTATGTTTCGGTCGTCCGAAATGGTTTTAAGCTTGGTTCATCACTCTCAGTACTCTTGGTTTGGTAGACCGAAGTAACACCCTTCCTGTTTCGGTCGACCAAAATGGTTTCACCATTCTTAGTATCTTTGTTTCGGTAGACCGAAGTGATTTGGTGCTCTATTTCGGTAGATCGAAATAGAACTGATGCATCATCCTCAGTATCTCTGTTTCGGTAGACCGAAGTGAGCTGGTCTTGTATTTCAGTCAACAGATTAGACAGTGCTCTACAGGACATCTGCACAGACCTTATTTTTAAGTTTACAATGTAAATAAGGTAGTACCCCCCATTTGGATTCAATAAAAAATATTAGAAAATTGAAATCCAACTAAATCAAAATGTAGAAATTCAGTTTTAGTACAAATTTGGATTTCTGACTGTTTTGGTAAAAATGAATCCTTGTGTAGACCAATGTAGACTTGGTCAAAAATTTTGATAAAATTAAGTTAGGCTAGTTGAAGTATTTACCGGGAAAAATTATTTTGAAATAATCATTATTTCAAAAATTCATTTTTCACACTTAGCCAAAAACACAGTTTTTCATGACGTGCATTCTCGGGTCCTAATGTCCGTTACCAACTCATGGTAATGAAGGTTTCTCATACCTTAATTGTTGATCAATATGAATTATATGATAAAGTGCATGGTCTTAGCATTTCTAGCACAAGTGATGAGTTCTTTCAAAGCTTATGCAAGCTTGAACTAACTCACTCGTTAACAAAGATACCATGTGCAATTATATATGAATGAAGTGCATAGTCTATTGCTAATGGATATATGAGCATATGAATGATGATATGATATGCATGGTCTTATAGAGATGAGCATTCAAATGAAGTTACTTCAAAAATAACTTTACAATTTAAGCTGTACTCACCAAGCTATCTACCCCTTTCTTCAAGCTTTGTTCATGATCTTTTAGGCTTTGAGGTATTCTTACTTTCTTCCTTTCTTTAAGTTACTTTTTTGATCATTGATGTCCAAGTTGTCTTTGGATGGACTTTACATTTGGTTCCTTACAACTTCATGTCTTCTTTGTCTCCTTTGTTATTCATAGATGTGATCTTGAGTAATGAAATACTTGGAATGATCTTTCGTGCTCTTCATTAAGGTCATCTTTTGAATGTGAATAATCTATATAACACTCAATGTAAACATTAGTCCTTAAACATCATTAATGGTTTGTTATCATCAAAACCTCTAAATTGTCCTTGGATGGAATCCTTAAGGTCAACAATTGCTACATTACCAACAAAAACAAAAACACAAACACATACCAAACAAATCCTAAATTAAAGCAAAATAATAATTATAAGTTGATTCAACCACGAAGTTTTTCTTAACACTTAAATCTGTACTCTATTTTTTTTTTTTCCCAAACATAATATTAAGTAAGCTTTGATTTATAAAAAAAAAACTATACATATACATGGGACATACCCAAAGATGTTACTATACTTATTGGTATTTGGTTTAACTCCTCCATATTGAAAATTATAAAATTAAAAATAAAATAAATAACATGATACAATCTTAGAATTTGAAATAGAAGAATAGAGGTAAAATGGAAAAAAAAAAAAAAAAGAAAAAGAGAAAATTGGTTTGGAATAATGTTTTTGGGCCAAATCAATAGCTATGTCAGTTGAGCCCAGATGATGTTTCTAATTTGCACAGCCCAAAGGCAACTCTAAACGGGCCTTGCAAATTCAAAGGGTTTAGATTTATTCGTGCAAGAGCAAGAATTTTGGGGCTGTCATTCCTTAAGAAACTTAACGACGGTCCATTGAACACAAGTAACTAATTGTATGAATTGGAAAAAAGAGAAGATTAAAAAAAAGTAAAAAAAGATTAGAAATGGAGAAAGTAAAATCAAGTAAAATTGGTTTAAATTTTAACAGTAGCTGGATGGGGTCAGGACTTATGCACCATCAAAACAACGTTAAACCAGGTTAGCCTCTAACCCACCTCCGTAACCAAACATCTCTAGCCCATACACAAACCCTAGTTTTATTCCCTCCTCATATATAAGCGTCTCTTATCCGCATTTAGGGCTTCCCTCTGTCAAAACACCTATCTCTGAACTCTTCTCTCACTCTTCTCCATTTTCTCTCTTACCCAAACCCTAACCACAACCCCAACAATGGCTGATCGCGGAGGAGAGCGTGGCGGATTTGGGCGTGGGTTCGGCCGCGGTGGACGAGGGGACCGCGGTCGAGGGCGTGGCCGTGGCCGCGGTCGCGGAGGCAACCGCGCTGCGGAGGAAGAAAAGTGGGTTCCGGTTACCAAACTCGGCCGACTCGTCAAGGATGGCAAGATCCGTAGCCTTGAGCAGATATACCTTCACTCACTCCCCATCAAGGAGTACCAGATCATCGATACCCTAGTCGGACCCTCACTGAAAGACGAGGTGATGAAGATCATGCCTGTCCAGAAACAGACTCGGGCCGGGCAGAGGACCAGGTTCAAGGCCTTCGTCGTCGTAGGAGACGGAAATGGTCATGTTGGACTCGGCGTGAAGTGCAGCAAAGAAGTGGCGACCGCGATTCGTGGCGCAATTATTCTGGCGAAGCTGTCCGTGATTCCGGTGAGGAGAGGGTATTGGGGGAACAAGATTGGGAAGCCACATACGGTGCCGTGTAAGGTGACCGGGAAGTGTGGGTCCGTGACAGTGCGGATGGTTCCGGCCCCGCGAGGAGCGGGAATTGTGGCTGCGAGGGTGCCGAAGAAGGTGCTGCAGTTTGCTGGAATTGAGGATGTGTTCACCTCATCTCGTGGGTCGACTAAGACCCTTGGCAATTTCGTCAAGGTTTGATCTTTCCCCTTTTATCGAATTAAAGTTTTTTTTTGAATTAATGATTATTCGGCTCAGAATATGATCTGAAATGGGTGTTCTTTATTTTGGTCCTCGTGGTGGTATGCATACTTGATATAGGTAATTAGGTGTTATATATATATATATGTTGTTTGTTATTGTTGTATGAATTTTATATATTGATGCGTGATACCATGGTTGGATTGCATCACAAGACCCGTGTATTTTTATGTACGTTTATAATATTTGGGGATTTATATTCAGCTAATGTTGTTACATGTGTATAGAGATTTAGGCATATGCATGCATTTGTGAATTTAAGTTTAGATGTAATTGTAATTATGTTTTAATTTATTAATTCTGTAGATAAAACACTGGAAAGATTAAAATGTCTTTATCTGTACTAAAGATTGGTTAATGACTCAGCAAGGGAAATGAGATGATAGTGGTCATAACGAAATGATTGGAAAAATATCCATGAGTGTTGGATTGCAATGCTGGTTTGAAAATGCTTATTTGTTCATTTGAAAATTATAATATATATATTATAAGCTATGAAGATTGTTGCTATACAGTTTTTACATATTAATTATTGTCTCCTTCAAACTTAATCGTCTGTGGTGCTTTTTGTTGATTCTCTCTCTTAAATTTTCTATTATAGTTTACATTTGTTGTCTGTTATGATAATTAATAACTACTTAATAACTACATGTTCTGGTTGCACTTTGTTCAAGAATATTATCTTTGCAACTTATGTGATCTAAAAAGAAAATCATATGTAAGTCTTCTACGTTAAGTTTGTCTTTGTTGAAAATGTTGCTCATTTCAGAGGTAATCCTTGCAACTGTATATTTATGTAAATCTGCTACTGAATAGTTCACTCCAGCATACCATTTCTGCAAGCATCAGCCTTCTATGTTTATGACTACTGGTGATTTATCAGCAACCTGGTGATACTGATTGTATTGAAAGTTGTGTGCCACTTTTTTGGAATCATTGCCCGTAATTATCAGATTTCTCTGTAGCTTAGCTTTGTTTCAGTAATTTTTCCTGATATATATTGTTTCAATATTCGTTGTTGCAGCAGATTTCTTAAATATTACTGGTTTTCATTTTGCAAAATAGAATATAGCAGCTTTATCACTTTCTGCGCATATATATTAGTTCTCAATAATTTAATTTCACCTTCTGGATATATTCGGGTGATATAAAATGGGTTTTTTTATATCATATTTTTCTGATGCATGTTCTTTATGAAGTCTTAACGGTTTCTGATAATCTGTGAGTTGCTACCCTGTTACATGGCACTAATGTTTGGGAGTTGTTATTAGGCTATGGTAATTTTGGATTCTGAATTATAGTGCTTCATTGCAGAAGCAGAAATCTAATAATGTTGTATGTCTCAATATCTGGTTATGCTTTTTGGAGGTGTGGTTTGGATGTGATGCAAAAATTGTGATCGAGGCTATTCATGATGCTTCAAATTGGCCTGTGGAGATTTCATTGATTCTGTATGAAATCAAACGTGATTTGAATGCTTTCTCCTGGTTTTCGATCTCCCACATTCGTCGCCAATGGAATTGTGTTGCTCATGCTTTAGCCTCCATTTCAAGCTGTAATATGGAGTTTGATCTTGTTTTATCTTACCCATGTGATGTGATTGCTTGGTTAATTGAGAAAGATTGTGTGTCTGCTGCTTGTTAGCCCTTGCTTTGTGTGCTAGTGGAAAAAAGAAAAAGAAAAAAGAGAGAGAAGAATGAAGTATGTCAGTTATACTTTAAAAGGCTATTTATTTACACGAGATTTAGAAGAGATTTAGAAGTACCAGGAGTTCTTTTCTTCTTCATTTTTTTTCCTTTCCTTTTTTGATTTATTTACTTTGTTTTCTATATATTGGAAATGTTCAACCTTGTGTATGGATCTGTTTTATATTACACTTCACAGGTATTCTATATTTCATTGGGCTATTCGTCCATTTGTAAAACCAATTTGAAAATTATTTTATTAATTATAAACTTTTAGACCTAGAATGAAAGAGTTTTTTTGTTGTTTCAGCCCATGAGGGAAATCTAGGAATTCAACTCCATGCGTACTACTGCTTGCTAGGATATTTGTATGATTTGGTTTTCATTTAATTATCTAATGATTTTTGCCATCTGCAGGCAACTTTTGACTGTCTGCTGAAGACTTATGGTTTCCTCACTCCAGACTTCTGGAGGGAGACCCGATTTACAAAGTCTCCATTCCAAGAGCATACGGATCTGTTGGCGAAGCCCACAACCAAGATAGTCTATGTGGAAGATGCCGCTGCTGCTGCTGCTGCTGAAAGAGTTGATGCTTAATCAATCAGTTCATTCTTCCCAAAAGAGTGCTGCTGAAAGAGTTGATGCTTAATCAATCAGTTTATTCTTCCTAAAAGAGTGCTGAGTATGTTTTGTTAGGATCTTCTGATATATCACTAGTGGTTAAAATTTTATTCTCTATTTTGAAGGACTTGTATTTTTGGATTTTGATATGTTAAGACGGATATCTTTGTTTTGAATCAAATAATTTTATGCTTGTTTGATCATTTATGGAATTTATAGAATTATATATAGTTAAGCATCACTATGAATTTGTTCGGTCACTAGATTGCTGATGATTATTTGTTCAAACGCCTGCGAAAAGATGGGTTGGTTGGTTGGTTGGTGTTTTTTACGGTCCATTCTTTTTTATGGGTAGTGCAACGTAGTGTATAATGGAAGTACATCTGTGGGACGTATGCATAATGTTGTATACACGTGCCATTGACACAACGTAACCTCGTGCATATGTTAATGTTTTTTTTGTCTGCAGCTAGTTATTGAATCTTCTGTCCTGCCGGGCAGCAATAGCCCGTATTTATATAGGAAGGATCTAACATATGAGATTCTCGTTACATTAGTTTCAAGCTCCTTTTATTTCATGGTAATGCTAAGGTAAATATAGTTTAGATTTTTTTATTTTTATTTTCAATGAACTGACATCATTTCTTTGATCTAATCATAATAGCTGTATAAGTTGGTTGTTTGACGATGAGAGAAATTCTACTCTTATCTCAGAGATCAAGGGTGGGTTGGAAGATTGCTCTTAGCGTGGAGCCTTCTTGAAATTCAAAAGTTCGTAAAGTAGATTTTATTAAACATGAGGATTTGTTTAGATTTAGAAGTTTGAGGATTTGTTTAGATTTAGAAGTTTGAAATTTAATGCTCCATTTGGTAGAAAGGAAGAAAGAGAATTGGATGAGAGATAGGAAGGAATAAATAAATTTTGTGGGTGGAAGGCACAAAGAAAGAAATGTTATAAATTAGTTTATAATACAAAAATTTACTTGTAAATATTTTTAAATTACAAATTTTTTTCTTATAACTAAGACTTTTTCTTATTAATAAATAAAAAGAGTGAATGACACAATCTCTTCATTGAGAATATTTCATTTATCATTTTTTCTTTCCTTTTTATCCAACATAAAAATTTTAACTCAAAATTGTTTGAACGTGCCAAATGCTCAGAGTTGGACTCTCCATAATTAATAAAACATTTTACATACCAAAGGTGATGTTTGATAAAATATATTTTATCAAACAGGACTATTGATAGATGGTACAATAAGATAATTAAAATGATGCTGTATTAAGATCAACAATGGATTAGGTAGGGACGGATTAATATAAGAAAAAAACAAATATTTTAAACTAAAAGGATGGAAATATTTTGATAGGAATACAAGAGGACCCGTAAGTAAATGTAACACACTTTCCTTTACAGTCAATTCAAAGTGTTTCGGAATGGAATGAAAGATTGAACTCATCCTCTTTCTGAAGAGTGAGTAAACATGTGTCTTTTTCTATAATATCTTTTATTGCCTTGGAAGAATTTTTTTTAATTAAATGAAATAACACAATTGCACACAAAATTAAAAATCTTTACACTTCACTAGACTATTTGAGTTTCGCAATTAATCCGCTCCACTATTTTTTTGTCCATGGATGGGGGTGGATGAAAAATATTTTTAAAATATATAACAAATTGCATTAAATCCCCTACTACTTTGAATTTTTTTGCAAGAAACTTCCATGAAGAAATAAGTGAACGTAAAACCCCCTAACTATCCAATTTATTGCAAAGTGATGTTGTAATGACTAAAGTGCCCCTTAATATAAATTTAATAAAATGGTGTTCCTTAATATTAAATTAAAATCAATACAAACTCATTTGGCATAGTGTTGTTATAAAAAAAATATATTATTACTTTTTAAATGGTTGGTCTATAAGAAAATGAAAATACCTTGAAATAATTTTTAAAATTTTTATTTTTAAAAATAAAAAAGAAAAGAAAAGCTAAATAAAGATAAAAAATTTGAAAATTGCTTCAAAGTATTTTCATTTTAAATCATATAAAGAAAAGAAAAGCTAAATAAAGGTATTTATTTTTTATTTTGAAATATAAAAATTTAAGAATATATTAAAAATTGTTTCAAGGTATTTTTATTTTATTTAAATAAAAAAGAAAGAAAATCTAAAAAAATGTATTTTATTTTTTATATTTCTAAATAAAATTTAAGAAAATTTTAAAAATTATTTCAAGGTATTTTTATTTTCTTATAGACTCACCATTTAAAAAATAAAAAATCAAATTTTTTATAACAAAAATGAGTTTGTATTAATTTTAATTTAATATTAAGGAGCACCATTTTATTAAATTTATATTAAGGGTCACTTTAGTCATTATAACATCACTTTACAACAAATTGGATAGTTAAGGGGGTTTTATTTGAACTTTTTTGTCCAAGGAGTTTTCTTGCAAAAAAATTCAAAATAGAGGGAGGTTTTGTGCAATTTTCCCTATATAAAAGGAATAGGGGCATTTTCGTCTCAAGATTTTTTTCCATCCATTCCCATCCGGTATGTTACTCCCCTGGATGGTTGAAAGAGTTTTTTTTGGCAAAAAAAAAATAGTCAACGTGGATTTATTACAAAACTCAAATAGTTGAGGGAGTTTATTGCACTTTGCCCTTCTACTTCATGACAACAAGTAGAGAATATTTTTACAACTATTGTAATGCATATACATGTGTGTGAATTAAAAATAACAGTAGTTTGAGTCATGTTCTAATAAACACAAATACAAAATTTATACCATCTAGATTATGGTTTGCCGAATCGGTCAATACGTCAATTATTTTTTAAGGGTTCAATATTGTTACATCAGTTTACACTAATATTTACCTGAATCTATTATATCGCAACAGTACCCGAACCATAATCTAGATTAATGGTGCAAAAAATTATGTAATACTCTTGAGTATTATATATACCCATTACCCACAAGATATTTTCTCTCATTACAGAAATATGGATATAGAAATATTATTTAGTTTTTTATTTTCCAATATACGAGAGTATAATTTTTGAATGGTCGAGAGTATAAATTTCATTTTGCATATGTATTAACTATTACTAATTGGCTGATTGACCTTATTTGCAAACTTTCAAAGTTCAGAAAATATTTTGTATTAGTATTTGCAATTAAACGAAAGTTGTAAGAGTTTTCTCGATTTGACCAAAATTAAATAAGCCAACGAGATAAAAAAACTCGGGCGAGTCAACTCTATATTGCACCGTTCTTTGAACAATACGTCCACATATTCCGGTTTTACGAATAGAGGGAGACTCTGAACGACTCTCATTCTGAACTTTCGATTCCGCGGTTTCTCTTTCTCTCTCTAGAAAAAAATAAGAACTTCAACGCGGAAATCGAAAGCTTCAGACATCAAATTCTTGAATTTCGCCACAAATCCAGGGAATTGAATTCCAAAAGTTTGATTCATTCCTTATAGATATTGATATTTTCCTTCTTCATTTTCTGATCTGTAAATTTTCTCGAGAATTTGATTTGAATGGGCACTCCGGCATTACCAAATCTCGGAAAGCATTGCAGTGTGGAGGACTGTCAACAGATAGATTTCTTGCCCTTCACCTGCGATTGCTGCCACCAGGTCCCCTCTTCTCTCTCTCTCTCTCTCTATATATATATATATGAAATTTTATACTTGTAAAGCTTATGTTGAAATTTTCGCAGGTAATTGTGTTGTATTCTTATCATTTTCTGTATATTAGTTTCTTACAAGATTGCATCGGGCTCGTTTCTTTAAAAGTTTTTCGTTAGAAAATTAAAATTTATGAATTTTTCCCCCCTACAGATGCTCAATGAATGACCAAAGAATATGACATTGAAATCATGATTTAAGGGCAATTTGAGAATAAAACTACCAAATCATGTTTATGGGGTTTGTTAGGAATTACACCTCCCAACAAATGTGCAATGGCAACAAAAGAAAAAACAAGATGGAAATAAAAACAAGATCTACTAGATTTCCTTGGCTTGGCAATTTGCCTACGTTTCCAGGCAAAGAACAACTACTTTTATTTCAAAATAAGAGGATTACAAATCTCAAAGTATTACCAAGAGTTATTCCACAATCCCAAAAGAAGACACACACCCTTCTAAAAGACATACACTCTTCTAAAAGACATACACTCACTCTTAGCCCTCACTACAGTCACTACAGGGTTGCCTTCACCAACTAAATTGTTATACTGTGAATTTAAACATGTCACAAATTTGTAATCAAACTTGTGGCAAGATGGAGCTCCATAGGTCCATTGCTTGGTGCACATGTAAAAGCTTAGGCTTCTGGGCATGACATGGGTTCCAGTCCAAAAGGTGGCAATTTTGTGCAATTGAATAATGACCGAGGCTAAGTTTGCTAGTAGGTAAACTGGGTAATCGATGAAGAAGTGTAGTGATGTTTGATTATTACCGACCCTTGTCATTTTAGTTGGGCTGGCATGACCTTAGCTTGAGAGGGTTGATCTGCCATTTTCCCTCATCCGTGTTAGTTATTAGATATGTTTGACATTGCTAAGTTGCGTTTTGGTCCTTGCCACATATACAAGAAATGCTATAATCTCATTATTAACTGGCATTTGCTTTGCAAGTCAATCGTTGGCAATTTGAATCCTACTCATCTTGCCAACGGATTTTGCACATTGTATTTGGCTGGTGCCGGTGGATTTGTTGAACATTGTAGGTTCTGTATTGTAGTGGATAGGTATATCAAAAGTAATAGAGTGGACTCTTAGTTGGTTCCAAGTACGTGGTGAACAAACAAATCAGAGGATATGAGGGAATAGGGATATGAGTTGTTGAAGTAGTATTCTAGCTAGATTTTTCTTCTAGTGCTGCTCAACTGAGTCTTTAATGGGGTTTCTTCTCTGTCTTAAATGTTCCATGGGCAAATCTTTTCATAATGGTGTGGGAGAATGAGATGAGCCAGTAAGTCATTATTAACGGGAGACTTTCCCATGGCTCGAGTATTTTCAGAAGTATTTGTCTTTAGAAGTGGAGTATCCCATAAATGCATTGGTCCAGCCATTAATACGCTGGGGGACTTAATAAATACAGATGAGACAAGTATTGCAAAATTTTCCTCTTCCCTCGATTTTGCTTGTGACATACTTGCGCCTTGGTCCTCAGTCACCCAATTGAAAGCTTAGCAAGTTCCCTTTTGAGGGGTGAAGTCTGAACAATGAAGAGTGTAGGGAACTGTCTTGGTTCATGTGTGCCAAAATCTCCTCATAGTACTTTGAAGTTTATCTGTGGGAAGAGATCTTAAACTCTTTCAACTTGGAGGTTTTTCTGTGGTCAATAACTTCTCGAGGTCTTGTGTCCCTTGAGGTTTTATTCATGGGGAGGAAGAGGAACTCCTTGAGGTCCTTTGTTCCTTGAGATTCATCTGCAATTAAGAACTCCTCAAGGTCCTTTGTTCCTTGAGATTTTTCTGCGACTAAGAACTCCTCAAGGTCCTCCGCTTCTTGAGGTTTATCTGTAGGGAAGAGCTCCTTGAGCTCTTCTTTTTGTTGAAATTTATCCATGGGGAAGAACTCCTTGAGGTCTTCTTTTCCTTGAAGTTTATTTGTGAGTTACTTGAAATCTCCTTTTGCTTGTATTCTTGGGATGAAATTAACTTCGAAATTCCCTGCATCACAAGAGAACCTCCAAGTTATTGTTGTGTGCTGAATATACTTTCTTTCCACACGGATTTCACATATCGTGCCTTCGTTTGCCTTATGTTATGCCATGTGGATTCCTTGGTAACACATAATTTATTTGTTGTCCAAGATTGAGATGTATGTATTTCCAACCAGCCAACCTTCTAATGGGCCCATTTACATGCTTTGGTAAAACATTTGGTTGATTCTCAACCATAGCATACACTTACAGTCGCATTACATGCTTTATTGGTAAAAAGATTATATGTGTATTGCTCCATTGAATAGTCAGCATTTAGGACTTCAGAGATGCCTCCTGCAGTGCATGTAATCCTTCTATATTGATATCTAGATAGATGTGGATCTTTAGTTGAAGGTGTGAAGCATCTGTAGTTATTCTTCTTCAAGCTTTTGGTGATCCTTTTTCTTTGACAGTGTATCTTGTACTTAAGCTCCTATCTATATTTGAGATGTGGATTTTTCTTCACCAGGCTTCGATTGATCTTTTTCTTTGGCATTTTATCTTGTATTTCAGCTCCCGAAATTCAAGTTATATTGCTTATTTCATCTGCAGTTTTTAGTCCAATGGTATATCCTTTCACTTTTCTCTGGCTGTGTTTGACAATGAGTGCACAGCAACACTGCATTAGCAATTTGTGATGGAATTGACGGGCGAAATGTTCTTCCCTCTCAAGTATTGTTATGTATTTACATGTTATATAGATGATGGCCAATTTTGGAAAATTTACCATGTGAATAAATATAATACCATATTAAGAGGTCCAGGGTCCGATCTGATCTTAGTATCACGTGGTATTGTGGATACTTAGGTGATAATTTTTATTATTTTTCCTTGATAGTTTGAATAAGAAACAATTTTTGACAAGAGATTAGTATAATAAAGAAAAAGACGAAAGTTTTCATTATTCTTTCTTATAAAAAGAAATGAAAAAAAAGGAGGTAATATCCTCTATCGTTGTAAAACAGCAACAAAAATTGCAAAAACCTAGCTGCAATGAAATGCTTGTAGGAATTGAGGTTCATGGCCTTTGGACACATAGTTCCATCATAAAAATCTTTGATTGTATTGCACTTCCTTTTCTAGATTCCCCCCCTCTTTTTTACAATGGTTTGACAAAAGTGTCATCACTTCCTTTTTTAGATAGCCTTCATCTAAGTTGGGACTTCCAACTTTTAGGTGCAGACTATTTTCATTATATACTAAGAAGTGTGAATGATGATGCCAAACCAAAGGGTGCTAAGTTTGAGAATTTCCTCTTTTTGTTTATTAATATAATGTCCCAGTTGTAATAAAATGAGAATGCGATGTTGTGGCCCGAATTTGGTTTTGGGTCGAGTTGCGACCCATTTCTTAACCTCACGGCTCATTGAGTTCTGGGGTTTGGGGGCAACACTCCCAAGTAAAATTTTCAACCCCCATTTTTTTTCCCCAGATCGTGGACCCTATTTAATACTCTCTTGTATCCCGATATATAAGGATGTTTAGGGTTTGGAGTGGGAGATTGAGAGACACTGAAAATTGTTGAAAAGAGAGCGAGAGATGGGGTTTGGGGGCTGAAACTTGTAATCTCCTGTTTTTCGCATAGTGAAATCTTTCACCTGATCTCCATCGTAGATGTAAACACGTGTTGTGTCTAACCAAGCTAAATCTTTGTGTTCTTTGTGTGTGGCGTGTTCATTTTTCTATCGTGTTTCGTGATTGTTATTGGGTTCGTGGTTGTTTGTCGCAATGGAGAAGTTCTTCAATACTTTGTTTGGTCCCTGTAAGTTCATTGTTTCTTATTGCTGATTTGGTCCCTGATATTTTTCATTTCTCTGATTATAGACGTATCTTCTGGATATGATTTCTTGAGCTCACTCTATGAGGACTTCTGAAGTTATATGCTTGTTAGAACTTATATACAATTAGATTGTTCAGGAAAAGGGGTGAAATTTTTTCTCGAACCCTCTTTTCCCGTGATGGCCTTTACGAGTACAATAGCAATCCTAAATGTCTCTGTCTGTAGTTCATTGGTTAAATTGTTTCTTTTCCAAGGTTCAAAATTGTATGGACTTGACAAATTTATTGTGTTAATATAATTAATATATGTGTGCCATCTTTTCTGTATTAGGCTGGTGATACGAGTTTTGTAGCTGCAATTTTTTTTTTTTTTTTACTTTCAGTATGGCTTTAATTCTTTCTTGCTTTCTCCAGTTCTTTTGTTTTTGGTGGTGTTGGTAGGTGTGGTAGTGGTCGTGTCAGTCGATATGGGTTTTACAAGTATATGGTATACAATTGTCTCTTGTTACTATGTCCTCCATTGTAGTAGTCTTTTTTATTTCTTGTAATTCAGTAACCGCAATTTTTTTCTTTTTTCCTTCTGCCACTTTCTGTTAATATTTCTTATTCTTAATTGTGCTGGAAATAATTGCCAATTTTATTGCAGGTCTTCTGTTTAGAGCACCGGAGCTACAATAAACACCAGTGTCCAAAGGGCAATAAGCATGACGTAACTGTTGTCGTCTGTCCACTATGTGCAAAAGGAGTTCGCCTAATTCACAACCAAGATCCAAACATCACGTGGGAATTACATGTTAATACTGATTGTGACCCATCAAATTACGAGAAAGCCACAAAGAAAAGAAAATGTCCAGTCCCTGGTTGCAGAGAGATCCTGACATTCTCGAATACAATCAAGTGCCGCGACTGTACTGTAGAACATTGTTTGAAGCACCGGTTTGGACCTGATCACAAATGTCCTGGACCCAAGAAACCAGACACAGGTTTCCACTTTACAAGTTTCTTAAATAGGAGTAAAAAAGAAGTGTCAAGGCCAAACCAAGCTCCAGTCACCACTTCACCCAAGTGGACTACGAGTTTCCTCAATGCGGCTTCATCTTTTCGAGCTACAGCTGAAGCTGGAATGTCAAAATTGAGTAATGAATTTAGCCAAGCCTTGACTATGTCAAAGGATGGAGCCGGGCAGAGCAGCAGCAGTGGGAGTGCAAGTGGGCAAGTTGAACAGTGTCCACAATGCAATGCAAAGTTCTCTTCAGTTACAACTCTGGTGGATCATGTGGAGAAAGTTCATGAAAGGACTGGTGTTATGAAGGTGACGCTTGATGTTTGCCCCAAGTGTAGTAAAGGTTTTCGTGATGCTGTGGCTCTTGTGGAGCACATTGAGAGGGACCATGCTGGCACTTCAAAGAGATGAATATTACTCGCGGAGAAGTTCTATTTAGGTTTCTCATTGCTTCCATTGTTTCAAGGCTTGTGTAAGTGCCAAATGCCAATAGTTTCCAATAATCAAATATCACATGTATTTTTTAAAATTTATAAAAGTTGAAGTTCCATACAAAATGGTTATTGACAACCATTTGCAGACAACAAATTGAAGTTTCAATGCATGAATGTGAAATTTGCTTGTTGACAGCCAAATTGAGCTCCATCCTTTTCTTTTTATGAATTTTTTCTGTCTTTTGTGTGAGGACTTGGAAGAAGAGAGGTCAAATTGTTATATCACTTTGGAGCTGGAATGAGTAAAAGATGACATATTTATTTTTTATTATTATTTTTGGTTCATGAAAGTTATAAAATTTTATATATCTTATGGTTGTTGTGAGACTATATTATTGGATAACATAAGATGGATGCATGCAAACCACTAACTGGTCTGCTAAAGGAGTCGGGATCCAATAATAATAATAATAATAACCACTTTCATTGAAAACTATATAAATGGTCATCAAAACATTGGATGATCTGTTCGCAAACACCTCTGGTTCATAACTGTGAGCTTCTTCCTCTCTGTTTATTTTTATTTATTTTACTTATATATATATATATATATATATATTTGGACACATTTTATTTCAATTGAAACTTGAATTCTTAATGTTTTTAAAAGGTACAATAAAAAACACTAAACTCAGATGTCTCAAATATGAGTTGTTCATCAACCAATTTGATAATGATGACCTGTGTGTTGTAATGTCTTTATTGAAACAACCTGGAGGCACTTGATTTCTTACATTCCAAAAGGGGGTTATGACAGCCACATTGTGTCCCTATGGCCCATCTATTATTATTATGGGGTTAAGAATACGAATGCAACTCCTAATTAATAAATCCATTTTGTAATAGAAGGGTGATGATTCAAATTAATTTTAAAGGATTCAATAATTAATAGAGCTGAAATCAGGCCAAGCTGAGATGGACCAAGCAGATAATTTTTGGTTTCAAATTTTGAACAAGTTAGAATAAATCAATAGCTTTTCATAAGTTTTTATGAACAATAATGATGAATATGTTTGTATGTGCTGCCAGATCATGGATTACAGGTTGCTCTGAAAAACCGGACACCATCGCGAACCCCAAAAAAAAAAAAAAAATGGAAAGTCTAAATTTCTGGTGAACACCATTAATCCTAAAATAAGAGCAGTTAGGACTTTCTGCCTCAATTGCTCGGCATCAATTCCATATAGCTAAGAGAAGATCAAATTGCTGGATTGAGAATCTTCCTCCAACCTTCTCAAAAGATTTTCTCATTAACCAATTATTTCCATTTCATTCAATAAGAATCATATGAGTGAAAAAAAACAAATAAAAAAACCAAGAAGAAGTAAACAAAAAGATAATGATAATAATAGTAAGTGCCTACACTACTACACACGTTCACACAAAGAATGAAACCATGTACATTAGGTTTTGGATTTGGTTAAACGGAATTGATTGGATTGTTTATGGGAAATAATTAACCAATACATTTGAAGACTAAAGCTTTTGAATTTTAAAAACAGAACTCAATGAACCTAAAGAAAAAATGCGTTGAAATCATGTAACATTGGCATTGAATAATAAAAATTTAATTTGAGAACCTCCAAGTTGACCACCACATATAATGGTTCAATGGATGACTCATTTGAGAACCTCCAATTCAACTTTAGTATTTGAATTTAATTGGAACTTTGTACAAATCTATAATTTTATTTATTTATTTATTATTTTTTAATAAATTCAACAAATTTTAACAAAATCACCAAGTGAAATGTCCCCATTTTCAATTTTAATTCGTGCCACTAAAATTACTCACCCAAGCCATAAAATTCAAGTCGAAGTCCAACTCCAAATATAATGCAGATTTTAGAATTGAAAAACGATAAAAGTTCCAAATGGATATTCTAGAATTGGAAAATGATAAAAGACCATAAACACCATTATTTATGGAAAAATTATTAAGCGTTTAAAAGTTGGACAACTCCGACTCATTTATATGGGTGGAGAGTGACTTATATTATCATTGATGTTCATGACAGGCTCTCCTCACTTGACCAATGAATTAAAAGATTCATTAAAAAACTCATTTGACATTTTACAAATCTCAATAAATTGTTTAAATCCAGTGACTAAATAAGAATAGTTCATACATCTTGTCATGAGAAGGCTCTCATCATAGTTGTTGATGCAAGATTTTGCGTTCCCATAATGACATTGTTCCTGAAAAAGAAAGAAAAAAAGTGATCGGGAGAGCACCGGTGTCGTATCGGCCTAAGAGCCTCCGGCAATTAATTTAGTACTAAATCAAAAAATTGGAAATAAGGTGAAAGAACTCTCTTAAAGATTTGTGCAGTACCTTTTGAGTGATCCGACCTCTCCTCACTAGTTCTCTTAACTTTTTCATATCACGTAGTAGAGGGTCATCATTCGTTAAAAAGAATAATTGTCATTACCACTTAATAGTCTATCCAACCTTTTGGAATCAAATTCGCATTACTAAAAAAATTATTTTTTATTATGGTGGCCGGAATGAAAATTTAAATATAGCGTTTTATGATGGTTCACAACTTCACAAGTTAATTGCTTTTATAATTCAAAGTAAAGAGAGTAAATTAAGAATATTTAAAAAATAATATATTAAAATTTAAATTGAAACAATTATTGTGGGATTGAAAGGTGGACATTTTTTTTTTTTTGGGAGGGGGAGTATGAAATAACTTCTCATGTCATTAATCATCGGCTCAAGTTTTTAATATTATTCCAACATTATTCCTTAATTTAATATAGGGTAAAGTGCAAAATACTCCTCTCAATTATGTTAAAATTTGTAAATAATATCCCTGAACTATGTTTTTTTTGCATAAAACTCACTAAACTATCACATTTAGTTGCAAAATGTCCCATTTTCTTACCTATTTTTCATTAAATGAGCATAATACCCCTTTCTTATTGAATTACACTTGATATATTTTTCTTGTTAAAATAAATTATGAAAAAAATTCAAACTAATTTGATGAAATATTCTTCATTAAATTTACATAAGTTTGCCTTTAATTTTTAAATTAATTATTTAAATAAAAATCTTAAATAGAAAATTTTGAAACAATTTAAGTAATTTCTTAATTTTCATGAATATATTGCATTAAAAAGAAGATATTTTTTTATACTAATTTATTTATTTAAAGTGAGTATAATATGTTTTATTATAATACGTTAATCATTTTAGAAAATGATGGTTACAAATTTATTTATTTATTTTCCATTTTTATAATTAATTGATACTAATTATAAAATTAAGGTAAATGATATTATTAATATTTAAATAAGAGAAAATATAATAAAAAAAATAATTTAATAAGAAATGACAAATTTAATAACAAAGGGTAAAATAATCTTTTGTGATGCGTTTGTCCTTAATTGCAACAAATTAATAGTTTAGGGGGACAATATTTAGTTCAAAGGAGTTAGTTACAAAAAGCACATAATTCAGGGTTTTTTTTGCACTTTACTCTTTAATATATTTAAACTAATGCTTCTAAATTTAGATTTGGCACAACCATTCCAACGGTAAAAATAGAATCACACGAGATCAAACGCTGATAAATGATGGTAGTCTTAAAACAATTTTAACCGTTGGATCAAGAACACAGCTTATTTGCATATTGCAAGCACCCTTATAAAAATTTCCTAATTTAATTTGCTTAATAAGCGGCTGGGATTATCTACCGCAAAGTCAAGTGTAACCATCAATACACAAGGGCATGATCGTAACTCAAAATTATAATTCAGTCCTTATTAGTCATTTCCCTGTCGGCCAGATAACAAAACCGTTGTGGGTTGTGGACATGTTCAATCACTCATAGCAGAGACGTCCGGCCGAGGCTATTTTATACTCCGTATTATATAAATATATATAGACAGATATATATGGGAGAGAGAGAGATATAGAGAGAGAAAGAGTCATTACGTTCACGGTGGAGGAATGCTGGAGATTTGGTACATTTTTGAAATCAATTGACGGATTACCAGCCTCCGGTCTGCTGTTACAGGCATCGACCCGAAGGTATCAACGTTACAAAACTCATAATCCACACCACAATTCATCATAATACAAACATATACACATTTTCTTTTGGCAATTCATATATACACACACAAAACAAACACATTGTATATACCATATTTACGTATGCCGATTAACATATATATATATATTCAATTTGTATCAATTGAGATGGTTGTGAAATGGGTTGTTGATTTCGAAGGTTTTGGTGACCTGTAATTGTTGATTGTAGGCTGGTTCCGTAATTCGGAAAGTACCCGATTGTTCTCGAGGGCTTCCTTTACCGTCCCATTTTGTGTCCTTGAGAAATTTTGGGTTTTAGATTGGTAAAGAAGGGAAAGGAAGTGTATAACTTTGAAGGAAATATATAAATTTTGGGTGATTGTACATATTTGGGATTCAAAATGAGCGTTGTTTCCGGCATAATTTCAAGGCAAGTTTTGCCAGCATGCGGTAGCCTTTGTTTTTTCTGCCCGGCAATGCGGGCGAGGTCTAGGCAGCCGGTGAAGAGGTATAAGAAGCTAATTGCAGATATTTTTCCTCGATCCCAGGTTAGTTTTATGGTCATATGTTACTTTATGTGTTTCTTTTATTGTTGGAAGATAATATACATTGTGTACTCAATCCTCGATACGTGGAAGTCCATTGATGTGTTCAAACTTTAAGATCCACCAATTGTTACTATTTTAAGCCAAATTGTGCTTTGTATCTGAAATAGAGAAGAGACTTTCTTTTCATAACGTTTTTTTTTTTTTTGAATCCTGTGTGTGGAACCCAAGCTAATTTTCTGATAACTATTTTCTCTTTCTTGAACTGTTTATGTGATAGTACCTGCAGTTGCAACTTTGTAAATTTGAACTGCCTTTTTGGTTATCAGTGCTAGGAAGATATTGTAATGCTTAATTTCATCTATCCATAACTACTGGACAGAAGCTTTATCCTCTTACATTTCCTGTTCATTATTTCTAAGAATATGATTGCTCACTACTAAAATAAAATCTTAGTAGACTTCTTTTAAGAATTTTAAATGCTTAGATATTTAAATTCTTTCAAAGATGGGTATGGAATATAATGCAAAATTAATAGCTAGGAGTGGTCAAAAGTTCTCCATACAAATTTCTCACCCCCCCCCCCCTCTCTCTTCTAAAAAAAGGAAAAACCTTCTTTTAAGGAATCAATGTGGGCTTATAGAATTTCACTTTCTCACCATCCTTGAACTTTGACTTTAGCTTAGTCATATAGTTCTTAGGTGTATATACAGCTATTGCACTATGCCATCCACTTTGTGTTTGAAATATTAGTTTCCCAGGCATAAGATTTTGGCAAACATTAAAAATACTACTAATTAAATTTCTTCTCTTTGTGAAATCAAGCTCTCTTATCTTGCATTTGAAGTGAGTCACTCAGTAAATTTGTACTCTGGATTTTTCTTTTTGTCCCTTTTTATTTTTTCATCAGCAATCATGATCCATCTATAACAAGAAAGGAAAAACCTTCTTTTAGGAATCAACGTGGGCTTATAGAATTTCACTCTCTCACCATCCTTGAACATTGACTTTAGCTTAGTCATATAGTTCTTAGGTGTATATACAGCTATTGCACTATCCCATCCACTTCGTGTTTGAAACATTAGTTTCCCAGGCATAAGATTTTGGCAAACATTAAAAATACTACTTATTAACTTTATTCTCTTTGTGAAATCAAGCTCTCTTATCTTGCATTTGAAGTGAGTCACTCAGCAAATTTGTACTCTGGATTTTTCTTTTTATTTTTCATCAGCAATCATGATCCATCTAACAAGAAGTTGTTCATTAAATAAGCAAGGTCAATTTCTATCTTAATTATAATTGTTCAACATTTTTATTGCATTTTGATGTTAATATATTTTGTATCTGCAAATTCAGCAACTTAATATTGTTATATTGTGATTTATTAAACAAGCACGATGTCTGAAATGAAAAATCATTGTTGAGTAAGCAAGGTTCAGTTTTATCATGATTAATTTTTTCTCTACATTTCATACATCATGTGCAACAGATGGATACCTTTTTTTTTTTTTTTTTTCCCTTCTACATTGTGATTTGTTCCTGTGATGTTGTGTGGCCCAAATTTGGTTCCGGGTTGTGTTGCAACCCGTTTTCGACTTGATGACCCATTGAGGGTGCAGGGGTAGTGAACGCAGCGATTTTTTTGACCCGTTTTGCTTGCGGGACGTGGACCCTGTTTAGTTATCTCTTGTAGCCCGATATATAAGAGTGTTTAGGGTTTGGAGTGGTATTATCGAGAGACATTGAAAATTGCAAAAAAGAGAGTAAGAGTGAGATAGGTTTTTTTTTTTTTTTTTGGGGGGGGCGGGGGGGCTGAAACTTGTAATCTTCTGATTTGCTCATAGTGAAACCTTTGCCGAACCACGCTAAATCTTTTTGTTCTTTGTTTGTGGTGTGTTTATTTTTGTGTTGTGTTTCTTGATTTGTTTCTTCATTCGTTGCGTTTGTCATAACAGTTCCTTATATTTTATAGGAAGAAGAACCCAATGACCGGAAGATTGGAAAATTGTGTGACTATGCTGCAAAAAATCCTATGCGTATCCCGAAGGTATTATTTTTTTCTTTCGTACCCTCAATACAAGGGGTATGTCTTATTTAATCTATCAGAGTTTTTATGGGAATACCATATCGTACAAGTATACGCGACTATTGGTTTTTTTGAAGCTGTGAATACACATTGTTTGATACAACATAATATATTGATTAGTTAAAGAACAGTTGAGATTGTTGTTTTAACAGTAATGTTGCTTGGAACATAATGATTTTAGACCAAATTTGAACCTTTTATTCTGCATTTATGCAATTTGTGTTTGTAATGGTCAATCTTGGTCCATCAGTTCTTAAACTTTTTCTTTTTTTCTCTTTTAACCCTTGAGTCTCAATTTTATGACTCATGCATCTAGACTCACGTAGTAGGAAAATATTAACCATGTGGCAATCCTAACCTAGGAAAATCCTAGGGCCCAAGGGCACCCAAGTTTTTAAGAGGGGGAGTACCTAGGCAAGCTTGGGTCCAAACCATCTAGAACCAACGGGCAAGTAGCCTAGCGGTATCAGCCTCTTACTTCCCAAAGGGAGGTCAGGGAAGTCTCAGAAGAAACATGTGTGTGTGAGTACCAATTAGGAAAGAAAAAAAAAAACCTAGGAAAATCCCACACACTTTAAATTGAGGGATATAAGTCATGGATAAAATTAGTTTTGATTTTCTCTTTCAATAAGGTTTAGTCACAAATGTTTGGACAAGTAGGAGGTAGACGAAATTGATAACATTAGTTATAAGAGAAAAGAAATGTTAGGGAAGGACAATGATAACTTTTTCATCATGTTTAGGACAGATAGTAAAGACAAAGAAACAAGAACAAGATGGTAAGTAGGCTAACTATATTATATAGAGCAGAGTGTTGGGTGTTGAAAAAGGAACAAAAACAACTCATTCAAGTAGCGAAAATGAGGATGCTATAACGGATGATAAGATTGACTAGAAGAAATAAGATTAATAATGAACTTGTGAGGGTAAAACTAGGAATAACTCCAAAATTAAAGAAAGTGGACTTAGGTAGTATGGTCATATACAACGTGGAACCGAAGATGCACCGGATAGAAGAGGAAGAGTTATTTTCCTAGAAGGTTAGTGACAAAGAGGCTGAAGAAAACTTACATGGGATGAAAAAAATGATTTTGAAAAATCAAGTATAAAAGGAGACATGGTGTATAATAGGAAAGAATAGAAAAAGAGAGTTCATGTGATCGGCCCCATCCATGTGGGTAAAGGTAAGGATGATGATGAGGAGGAGTAGAGGGAAGGTAAAGGGTAAAACAGGAAGTCACATGTTATGTGAAAATAGAAACAAAATCTGGTTACACCAAACTCCCTTGTCATATCCCCCCCAATTCTTCTCACTCGTGGAAGGATAGAAGAAAACACTATTTAAGGGATTGACAAACCCCTCCTCTCATCAACTTTTCTTATCCTCCTTATTTTAAACCAAACATGAGATAATCTACCTCTTTTTCCTTTCCTTTACTTCCAACCGTCTCAATCTAAATGCAATTTGTCATGAAGTGATGACCTCCTTGGAAAGTAGGTTACTTTTGTCTTGAAGTAACCTCAAGGATAATTTCTCATGAATTTAGTCTTGAATAACCTCATGGGCACTTTCACATGAAGTAATCTCTTGCCCCAATCCCCTTAATGGGAGATCGCCTAAAGCGTGGTTATGATTATGTCATCTTGCAAGTGTCATTCATAGTACATTAATTTATGCACGAGTTCGTTAAATCAATTTATGTTCATGTCCAAAAATTTACCTTCATAACATTTATCTGTGTAGTTTTTGGCTACTACAAAATTGGTTTGCTCTAAAAGTACAAAGGTGTAAGATTGCTAAAAACTTATATACACAAAAAGGCTCATTTGAAATCCTCCCCTTGTGTCCTGGAAAAATCCTCATAAAAGAACAGTCTACTTCAGCTACTTGCGTCTATATATATATGTGTGTGTGTTTTTTCTTTTTTTAATTTAAAAAAGATAGAAACAATAGATGGAAAGGGCCTAGTTTTTTTTTTTTTAGTAGAAAACAATAACAAGTTTCATCATCATCATCCTTGCCTTGTTCCTGTATAAACGGGGAGAAAACAATAACAAGTATCTTTAGTGATAATTGATTTTTATTACATTATGAACAATTAGGCTGAGAGGTTCTATTTTAGGTAACCATAACATATCAAGTCTAATGAGCTTCAAGATTATGTCTACAATCCATTGGTTCCTAATAGAACATGCTAACACTGATATTGCATAATAAGATGATGCATTTAAAGCAAAGCCCAATGTGTATTATGTCACGTGAGTAGACGATTAACTGATTTGACATAAGACGTCACCTTTCATATAAGCTAAATAACCCTCTCTCTCTCTCTCTCTCTCAACTCCTTTTGGACTGTGTCTGTGGATCCACATTGGTGAATAACCATTAGTCATTTTGGCCATCAAAACTGTGTATATCATATGCACGAGTCACCCCTGGCATAATAAAACATATTTTCTATGAACAATTAGGCTGAGAGGTTCTATTTTAGGCAACCATAACATATCAAGTCTAATGAACTTCAAGATTATGTCTACAATCCATTGGTTCCTATTAGAACATGCTAACACTGATATTGCATAATAAGATGATGCATTAAAAGCAAAGCCCAATGTGTATTATGTCACGTGAGTAGACGATTAACTGATTTGACATAAGACGTCACCTTTCATATAAGCTAAATAACCCTCTCTCTCTCTCTCTCTCTCAACTCCTTTTGGACTGTGTCTGTGGATCCACATTGGTGAATAACCATTAGTCATTTTGGCCATCAAAACTGTGTATATCATATGCACGAGTCACCCCTGGCATAATAAAACATATTTTCTTTGAATGGTTACCCAAATAATTTTAGTCTGTTCCTCATGCAGTCACCCCTGGCACTAAATGCACAAGCAGAGTCTCAAAGTGGTCTATCCCATGAGTCCATGAGTCACTTGAGTAGCTATCCATTCCTAATTAAGTTACCTAAATAAAAATGTTCCATTCCCCATAGGCATAGAGTTACCCTTATAACATAATGTACAAAATATTTCTTATGTGGACATTCCGTCATGTATAACGCTATTCCTATGGAGTCAGCCTTGACATCTTGTTATGAGAGGCCTTTTCAATTGGAGTCGCCCAATAAATAGCATCAACTTTACAGAGTCAGCTGAGCAAAAGTGTATGAGGTTCTCCCTTATGGACTCGTTGAAATAAATAATAGCATCAACTTTACAGAGTCAGCTGAGCAAAAGTGTATGAGGTTCTCCCTTATGGACTCGTTGAAATAAATAATAATTTGTTCCCTGTGGGGCACCTGATTAAGTTCTGTTCTAATCAGAATTTTGTTACTTTAGCTAGATTGCAATGCTCAGAGTTAGGATAACAGCCTCTAACGATTCTGGGACTATGTTGGCCACTAAATTGGGGCAAAGGTATACTTATTTTAATTTTTAATTAGGAAGAAAGTCCAGGTGTACATAACAAATAATGACCATATACACAGTAAGATCACTCTAAACTAGCCCAAGAGTATGTACATGTGTAATTGTGAGGTGTAGCCATGTAGTGTGTTCCATCCGAACAAAAATTTAATGAAGTTTTGTAACTGCTACTTGGTCTGCAATATGAAATTTTGTGTGCCATAGAGCTCTATGACCCTGCAAAAATAAATTTTTATTGGTTTCATGATAGTCGTGATTGGTTAGATAAATTTATTGCTGGAGTCTCTAATATCATTATCTTATAGCTCTTCTGTGTTGTAATAAGTGGTTTCAAACTTTTTTCCTCACTCAAATGCTTTATAGTGTGCAAGTGTTCCCTTTTTCCTTTTGTCTTTTTCCCTTTCATAGAGAACATATCTTGAAATCTACTAGAAGTGATGCAAGAAAATTGGTTGTTTAATGTTTTTTCTCAGTGGACTAGATTGCATAAGTCAATATTTTACCAATTTGAAACCTAAAAAAAAAAGAAGTATATATATATATATTTTGCCAATTTAAGGAGAACTTTTATGCCAAAAGAAAAAAATGTTGCTCGATTAACAGAAGTTGCAAATTTGATGACCAGATCACAAATTCACTTGAGCAACGGTGTTACAAGGAATTGAGAAGTGAGAATTTTCGATCTGCGAAAATTGTCATGAGTATTTACAGGAAGTTGTTAATTTCTTGTAAGGAGCAAATGTGAGTTCACTTTCCTTGTATGGGTTGTCATTTATTTATAAATTATAACATTTTTTTTGTGCATTTCTGCTGCTATTTATTTATTTATTTGTTGGATTTATTTACTTATCTGCGTTTCAGTTTGTGACATTATGACAGGCCTCTATTTGCAAGTAGTTTACTAAATATCGTGCACACTCTGCTGGATCAAACACGTGAGGATGATATGCGAATTATAGGATGCCAAACTCTGTTTGATTTTGTGAATAATCAGGTTGGTGGTGCTGAGTGATTCTTTATTTTGGGGTGTCATGAAATAATCATCTATAGAAGGAAGTTTAGTTTATAGTGAGAATTATTCTCAAGCTTCTAGTTCTTTCTGCCTACCTAAAATTGTGTACTTGTTCATCTGAACTGTATTTTGCAGAGAGATGGGACTTATATGTTTAACTTTGAAGGATTTGTTCCAAAACTCTGTCAACTAGCTCAAGAAATGGGGGAAGATGATAGGGCAAATCATCTTCGTTCGGCTGGGCTACAATCCCTTTCTTCAATGGTATCTATCAGAGAAATGTTTTATCTTTGAACCTAAAATTTCACTTATTGGAGTTATGTAATTTTACATCGATATATGATGAACGGTTCTAAACCATCTTATTATCATGAACATGTCACTCCCTCCACCTACATCCTACAATTTCTGTCTTCTGTGGGACATCAAATGAAAAGGTAAGTGTTTCGTGTTTTGTGTAATGGAGTGGGCTCGAAAAGTAAAAGGCAATGTACAAGTATTTTTTGTTCTTTGTCTCAAGAAAAAGAAAGACTGTCTTTTGCATTCAACCTCAAAAAAATCTACATATAAAAAACAAGCATTGCTAACACATTGGGGAGCATCCATTATCTGTGCTCTCATGGCAGACCAGATTCATCTAGAATATCTTCTGTGTTTTATTTCTGACAGCCCAAGTTATTAGACAACTATCTGAGGTAGCTACACGATAATGCCAAAGGACCAGTTCACCTTGAAAAGTTAACTTATTTTGTTCTTATACCCCATGACTTATTATGTCTTCATAGTGAAGATTCCCTGTACTGGATGCCCTCGGTTTGAATGTCTGTAAATTTTACCACTAGTTAATATGGAAGATAGCACCATGGAAAATTGGGTCCGGCTTTCTTTATGAAACACAACGTTGAACACCCCATGGTTAATAGGGTTCTATTTCTCTTCTTCTTCTTTTTTTTTCTTTTTTTTTTTTTTTTTTTCCCACTTTTATACAATTTATTATTTCTTTTAACATTTTTATGTAATATCTTAATGCCTGTTGGAACATCATTTTCATGTTAATTTATGTTTCCTTTGGTGGATAGGTTTGGTTCATGGGTGAATACTCCCACATTTCGGTTGAGATCGATAATGTAAGCAGATACCAACTTATTTAGTTTCCTCAAAATGAGGTTGTTTCTTGACATGGTATAATATTGTCATTACATTTTGCTAATTTATCTCATCAATGTAGAATTTGTGCCCATGCCTGTTGATTTTACTTTTTTTTATTTTTTTATGAAATGTTTGGAAATCAAAATGTTGCTTATTTTTGAATTGGTTGTTGAAGCTTTTCTTTATTAAATTCTTGATTCTTGTTACTCTAGCTTTGAACTGACAATCAAACTACCGCTGTTGTTTATCTCCATTTCTCTTTCCATCTTGGCAAATTTCTTGGGTTGGTGATAATTTTTAGCTGCTTTACCATCTGAGCTATTAGCATCAGTTCCATGAGTCCTGCACATTTATTTATTTACATATTCTCCTGACTAAAGGGCCACTGCTCCTGCAATGGTAAAATCTTGGACTGCCAAGCATGAAAAACAGGTTTGATCATGGGGGCAGCTACTTAATGCAGATAGTGAAAAATAGTGCTCAAGTTAATGACAAAGTGATATTACAAACACTGGCAACAATGATCTTTTTTTTCTTTTTCCCAGATAACATTTAATTCATTAAATTATACTCATGGACCTTATCTGTTCCAACACTCCCTCTCAAATGATGACCCGTATATTGTGTCCATAGTAAAACTTCAATGTATTTCAATTAAAAAAATTGCTTCTTTAGATGCTTTCTTTCAAATATTTGAAAAGCACTATTTCCCGTCGGCAGTATGCCTTACAAATGGATACAGGCCTAGACAAGCCTGGTCCAGTTTGTTACTTCAGTGGGACAACAGGGTTGAAATGAATTGGAAGCACATCATTACTTCCTTGCAATGTAAACATGTAAAAACTTGGGCTATTTACTATTGCTTGAGTTGTAAAACCTGTAAATAGGTTTGCTACACAGGTTACACAATTCTCACCTGGGCCATTATGTACTTGAAATCATTTTACTTTTTAAGAAATGGTTCTGGCTAACCGACTGGCACTCCTATAGGCCTTTATTGTCTTTAAGTTCACCATGAATGTTCTGAAAGGTTCTGCAGTTCAGGTGTCTTGACTAACCTTAGAACACTAGTATTTTCTCTTTTCCAAACTGGATTGAAATTCTACAATTTTTAACCTGGACAATTGTGTGGGTAGTAGTGCATCAAGTTACATTGCTTTTAAGTGAATTTCTCTCTCTCTCTGTCTCTCTCTCTCTCTATTGGTCTTGAACATAATGTATAGGAATACTGTTTATGTTGGAATGACATCATTTCAGTTTTCTTTCGTGAATTACATCTTCTATATTTCCTTATAATCTGTATTGACATGTTTGCACTGTTAATAAATGAAGCAATCCATGTTATACCTGTGTAAAGACCAACTTTCCCTAAAGTCTTTTGACAATGTATTTTATTTTAGATAATTTTATTTATTTATTTATTTATTTCCATTTCATTTAAACAGATTGTTACTGTAGTCTTGGAAAATTATGGAGGCTCTACTAAAGAGTCTAGAGACTCAGAGAACCCAAACCAGAAGCGGTGGGTACAAGAAGTGCTTAAAGTTGAGGGTCATGTCTCTCCTTCACCTGAAGTTGTGATGAGGGTTCCTCCTTGGAAGACAATTGTGAACGATAAAGGCGAAGCAAATGTGACAGGGTAATTTCTTGGCTCAAAATCCTCCGAGTGCTCCTATATCTAGTGTTTAAGTATGCCCTCAGAAGTGTATCTTTATTTTCTTTCCACAGGGAAGATGCAAAGAACCCTTGTTTTTGGTCCAGGGTATGCCTGAATAACATGGCCAAGCTGGGCAGGGAGGCTACAACCATGCGGCGTGTTCTAGAATCGTTGTTCCGCTATTTTGATAATGGAAATCTATGGCATGGGCTTGCCTTTCCTGTCCTGAAGGATATGCAGATTCTAATGGATGATTCTGGTATTAATTTTGATTTTTTCTGTCTTTTTAAATGATGATAGACAAATCATGGGTCTTTTCTTTCGTTTGATTTTGCAGGAGAAAATACTCAGGTTTTGCTGTCGATATTAATCAAGCATCTTGATCACAAAAATGTCCTCAAACAACCTGATATGCAGCTTGACATTGTTGACGTTGCCACCTCCCTTGCTCGACACATAAAGGTCCAGCATTCTTCAGCTATAACGGGTGCAATAAGTGATATTATGAGGCATCTGCGGAAAAGCATTCACTATTCACTTGATGATGCAAATCTAGGAGCTGAAATAATTAAATGGAACAAAGAATTTCGAGAAGCAGTGGATGAGTGCCTTGCGGAGTTAACCTATAAGGTGGCATTTACTTCTAGCGTTTCTGAGTTAACATTAGATTGTCAATTTTATATTAGGTGATTGAGCAGGAAATTCTTGTGATGTTAGATTTTAGTTGATAAGTTATCCGATGATAATTCAATGGGTCTAAATATCCTAATCATTTAACTGAATTTCATCATATTGTTGGAATTTTTTGCAAAGAAGCAATACTGAGTTGCCACTATGTACAGGTTGGAGATGCGAGCCCAATTCTTGACGTTATGGCTGTGATGTTGGAGAACATATCAAATATTACTGTTATGGCAAGAACTACTGTTTCTGCTGTTTATCGTACCGCTCAAATTGTAGCCTCTATACCAAATTTGACATATCAAAACAAGGCACGGACACAGTTTCTTTCTTTCTCCAGTTATTTTAATTCTATACTTAACCTTGCAGCTGAAATTCTTTTATATTTCAGGCATTTCCTGAGGCTTTATTTCACCAGTTACTCCCAGCTATGGCTCATCCAGACCATGAAACAAGAGTTGGAGCTCACCAGATCTTTTCTGTTGTTCTTGTGCCATCTTCAGTTTGCCCTCGTCCCCACTCAGTTGTACCTGGGTCAAAGCATGCTGCTGAACTTTCAAGAACGCTCTCAAGAACTGTTTCTGTCTTTTCTTCTTCAGCTGCCATTTTTGAGAAATTGAGAAATGAGAGGTCTTCTTCAAGGAAAATTGTTAGTCAGGACAACAAAGAAATAGTTGTCACTGAGGGGGAACAAAGAAACAACACTAATGGCATGCTGAACAGAATCAAGTCAACTTATAGTCGAACATACACTTTCAAAAATTCACCTGGACTTCAAAAAGCAGATGGAGATTCTACGAGCAATTCAAACAAGGAATTGGTAAGTTCTGGCATTGTCTCCACATCTTAGAAACTCTTGACTTTGGGAATGCTTTTTCCAGACCTAGCTTGGTTATGCCTACCCAGTTTATACTGGCTTGGTCTCATCTTAAAATACAGTCAGAACAAGCTCGGTCTTGATTTTGTACCGCTGTTTATTTTCCAGACTAGAGCCAGGCCTGGATATTTATTCCTGTTTTTTCTATTCCATGCTTCTTATGAACTTAAGTAATATCACTTAGAAATTTCATTCTTATTTGCACTACCAGTACCCTGATTTTGGTGGGATAGACGTTCAGTGTTACTTGAGAGTTGCACAGAAAATTATGGAATCACTATATGTCATGAGGGCCAGAACTAACTCTGGTCTATAGAATTTATTAGTCATTGGACCAAGCTCCAGTTGAGACTGCAAATTTAGGCCAGGCCAGGTGTGGTATGGTGCATCTATGTTTCGGAATTTTGGGCCTAGCTTGAGCCTGGGAATCGGCACCTCTTATATCTTATCTACATTAAGTCCCTTACATTTTGGTTCATCACTTGTATGACTGTTCTGTTTTTTTTTTTTTTTTTTTTTTTCTTTCTAACAACAGGAGACGGTTTCCCTTAGACTGAGTACCCACCAGATTACCCTCCTGCTTTCATCAATTTGGGCACAATCCATCTCCCCTGCAAATACGCCTGAAAACTATGAAGCAATTGCCCATACATACAGCCTGGTATTGCTGTTCTCTCGAGCAAAGGTATTTACTGGATTTATGTCATTGTTTTTACAAACTTTTTCAATACTGATTTAAGGATGCCCTTTTGTGTGACATTTTGTTGTTGTTGTTGTTGTAGAATAGTGTTTGCCTCATAATACTTTAATCTATGTCTATACTGCATCTACATCACAATTTCATTGTTTAATTATATTCTCTGTGTTTCTTCCATTTGTCTGAAAGCCCTCACTCAGTTGCATAAGTTTCTAAGTTTTCTGAATTTTTTGGCATCCCTTTGTCCTTGTAAAGCCTTCAATTAGAGCCAAATAGTTGCACCATCTAGCACATATGGTTGTCCAAATACATTGTCACCTTGTAGGTGACCAAAGCGTTGTTTGTTATCTTTCCTCTTGTTGTCACTTTTTTATTACCTTGAACTCTTTTTTTTAGTTCTCCTACTCAAGAGCCTAATAGTTGCGCCATCTAGCTCATATGGTTGTCTAAATACATTGTTACCTGGTACTTGTAGATGACAAAAGCATACAGTATCGTTCCTTTTGTTGCCACTTTTCGTTACCTTGAACTCTCTTTTTTCTAGTATTCCTACTCAGGCATCTTAATATACTGAACAAGGCAGTGGTCACTTTATGTACATTAAGAGTTTCAAATGCTCTACATTGTAGCATAAAATGCTACTGATTGGCATGCATGGATTTAGCATCAGTACCAATGCGTGTACATTTCCACCTTCATCCATCCTAATCTCATTCCATCAGCAGTATATTCTTTAGTTTCTTCCTCATAGATTTCTTGGATTTTGGTAGTTAGTCATTTATAAGTCATCTATTGATGAAAATTATTATCTTCTTTTCTACTACTATTTTAATTTGTCATATGCATTAAGATTTGAGAGAATATTTAGATGCAAAGTTATTTTTAAGTGCCTATTTTTCACTACGTGTCCCAACTTTTCATTTTTATGCTTGGATGTGCTTCCTACAAAAGCTCCATTGCATTTCTAACCCTAATATTTTCTGTTTTCCATATTGACATCCTTATCCCCGCCACTCTCATTCTATAAATATGTTGATTATATATAAAGCCTTCAATTAGAGCCAAATAGTTGCACCATCTAGCACATATGGTTGTCCAAATACATTGTCACCTTGTAGGTGACCAAAGCGTTGTTTGTTATCTTTCCTCTTGTTGTCACTTTTTCATTACCTTGAACTCTTTTTTTTAGTGCTCCTACTCAAGAGCCTAATAGTTGCGCCATCTAGCTCATATGGTTGTCTAAATACATTGTTACCTGGTACTTGTAGATGACAAAAGCATACAGTATCTTTCCTTTTGTTGTCACTTTTCGTTACCTTGAACTCTCTTTTTTCTAGTATTCCTACTCAGGCATCTTAATATACTGAACAAGGCAGTGGTCACTTTATGTACATTAAGAGTTTCAAATGCTCTACGTTGTAGCATAAAATGCTACTGATTGGCATGCATGGATTTAGCATCAGTACCAATGCGTGTACATTTCCACTTTCATCCATCCTAATCTCATTCCATCAGCAGTATATTCTTTAGTTTCTTCCTCATAGATTTCTTGGATTTTGGTAGTTAGTCATTTATAAGTCATCTATTGATGAAAATTATTATCTTCTTTCTACTACTATTTTAATTTGTCATATGCATTAAGATTTGAGAGAATATTTAGATGCAAAGTTATTTTTAAGTGCCTATTTTTCAATAGGTGTCCCAACTTTTCATTTTTATGCTTGGATGTGCTTCCTACAAAAGCTCCATTGCATTTCTAACCCTAATATTTTCTGGTTTCCATATTGATATCCTTATCCCCGCCACTCTCATTCTATAAATATGTTGATTATATAATTACCCAAATTATGAGCCATAAAAGAATGCCAATTGTTGTTGTTGTTGAGAAATTCTTCATTGCAACCGTTGCAAGGATGACTTGGTGCAATGGATGGTTACAAACTTGCAAACACTCCACCAAAGCACATATATCAGCTTTTTGGTTCTATTGTAGGTCCACTTTGCTTTGGTGGAGTGTTTGTAACTATCTGTTGCACCACGTCATCCTTGCAACGGTTGCAATGAATAATTTCTCGCTGTTGTCTCAATACATCCCCTTTAACTTGAATGGAATGCATGGATCCAATGGCTCACCAGAAGTTAATTTATTTTCATTGAATTAAAGCCAATTTAACAAAGAACATCCTTCTTGATCTGTCTCTCCATGTGAGCATGTTTAGTTTCCCCTCAGCCATCAAGTTTTAGTTATCCCATTGGTTTCACTCTTTATACTAATTTGGTTTGCATTGAGAGAAATAGGATTGTAAATTGGATTTTCATATTCACTAAGACAGGGCACTACTTGGGTCAATATTTCTTGACATTTGTAGATATTTAAAATATTTGAAATTCAATGTCTTGAACAAGTATTTAATTTCCACAACAACTAAATAATTGAGAATATCTTAAAAGAAGTCCAAGGCTGCAGCCTTGTAAATTCTTGTCATTGTAGGTTCTTGACATTTGGGAACACCTTAACTTAAAGATAGTGGTATCATCATCGCAAGGATGATGGACATTACAAGCTACTTTAAATTTTTGGCGAAAGTAGCTGTTTTTTAAATATTTAATGTTCAGAACTTCAGATCATTGAAAGGAAAAGATAGAGGAGGAAGAGGAAGGAAAGAATAGGGAAGAAAAGAAATCACGGTATTAGGTTTTTTCTTTTTCTTTCCCCAGAAAGATATAATTTACACCAAAATGACATCAGTGCAATAACAAAATGCCCTCATTAACATGAAGCCAGTGACCACGATTTGACGCTAGCGACTATTTATGCCGAAGGCCACCGATGGTATTTCTCTGATTTTGATTCTAATAGTGAGCTTCGTCTTTGAAATATATGGGTTAGTGGTGGTCCGTCCCTTAAACTAAACTCAAATTTTTGGTTTTATTTAACTTGTTTTGTTTATTCCAAGGGAAGCTTAATTTAGTTGTGGGAAGCTTAATTTAGTTGTGACTATCTTCATCATTGTTGTCAGTCTCTACATCCTATTTGCTTCTGATTTGAATATGTAAGAAGGCCTTCTTCAAAAATATCTCACCTAATAACCTTTGTGAACTGGCCTTTTCTAGTAAATGTTGCAAATATTCGAGCCCTGGGTGGAGCTCTCTTGAGTTTGAATTGAAGATTGGAGATATATGATATGGAGGATTTCTTGAAATAGTGAATAATTTGCATTCGTTCTTGTACTCGAGCTGAAGCTCTGTAAGGAAGCTAATAGTTATTTGCCCCTCCTGGAACAATGATCTTTTTGGCATTCGAGGTGTGGTCAATTTGAACTTCATTTATTTTGCACTTTTAGATGTTATCTAAATGAAACTTGGTAGTTTTAATTTCAATTTTTGGAATTTGGTATGTCAAAATTCCTAATATTAGTTATGTGAACATTTTATGTTGGAATATGTTTTATGCCAAACAGCTGAAAATATTTTTTCTTAAATTGTTTTCCAGATTTCAACCAAACACAGAAAGTGAGAAAAAAAAAAAAAAAAAATCAATTTGCGATGTAAGACATTTTACATGAAAAATATTTTCCAGTGTTAAGCATTTTATGTCAAAACAAATGGAGCCTAAATGGAAAACCCAGATAAACAACTGATAACCACAAATCATGTTCCTATTGTGTAAACCATGTTACTAACCAAGGCGACCGTCTTATTTGATTTATTTTGCTACAATGATGCTTCAAAAAAGGGGGGAAAAAAACATTGTTCAATTACATTCTAGGGTCAACACTGTAATCAAATGATTTAAAGGTTTAAAGGTAAGTTAAAAATTGAGATAGATAGGAAAGATATGTTAGCCTGTTATTAACTGACGTATGGTCTTAGAGAGAGTGAATGGAAAAGCATGATTCATGTATCTGACCCCAAATAGTTGGGAAAAAGTTTGTTGAGTTGGGATGAGTTGTTGCTAAGTTGAGGATTTCATCTTCGAAGAGATACTTATTAATTTACAACAAACCTTCCCTTATCCACACCAAAACATCTAATAGTTTCCAAAGCCTTTGTTCTAATGCTGAGGGCATCAACCACAAGGAGAGGAGAAAAGGAAAAAGAGAGATGGAGTTCTCAATCCCCTGAAGGTCCAACCAACCCTTTGTTAAGACTACATATTGGTGTCCAAGCATCCTCTTATTAACTTCTTCATTTCCTTTAATAGCATTCTTTCCTTGTACAAAGATCCTGAAAGTATCTATCTACATGATCATAAGCCTCTTTGAATAAACTCTGAAAACAAAACTTCTTTTTTAGATTTTCTACTGCCTCATTAGTAATAAGAACCTTGTTGAGGAAGTCTTTATGTTTGACAACACCCCTTGTTGAATGGAAAAAGTATCACAACTGTTCCTCATTATCTAAGAGAGCTTCTAGCATTGACATTACGAAGTCCCAAAACTAAATTGATCTGTGTATTGTCTGCATTGGAGAATACCTTCCTCAGGATTGAGATACAATGAAGACTGGAAGAGATTCACCTAGTGTATTGGATATAGAGATAACCTTTGGTATGATTTGTCCAAAATTGCTACTCCTACACTTTAAACTCATTTTGTCATGCTTGGCAACTTGAGCTCCTACTATCCTTCAGAGAAATTATTAAGTTTGCTCATAACCTATTTGTGTTGTTGCTCTAGTGCCATATTATTAGAACTAGATGGTTAGTCTTGTATAATTAACTTCAAAGAGAGAAAAAGTAGGAATAAAACACTGGATTTCCTTTTTACTTGATTTCAACTAATTCATTCTATCTTTCACTTCATTTGATTCATTTTTGCTTATTAAAAAGGCTAGATTACAAGGGACAGTCTTTAGATTTATTTGGCTTCCTGTTTTGGACATTGCTCTTTTATTGAAGAGTTTGTACTAGGCTAATTACTGATATCTCCTGCCAGTGAGAGATATCAATTGTTTATGATAACACAGGACACATGAAAAAATTAATGGCTGCGAAGAAAGTGTGATAGCTGATAATTAATGTGATAACTGATAACTAAGGGAAAAAAAGAAGAAGAAAGAGGTGTCGGCAATCATATGTTGCTTTTGAGGTAGGCGGCAATAAGAAAAAAAATGACATAGTTCTGTTTGGTTGGACAAGGATTAGGCCTTATTGAATGATCTCCCCTTAATATTAAGGATTTCTCTTTTTGAGTTTTCATGCTTGACTGAGGAATGTGTTAGGTTTGTATCCTCACTTCCAGCACCCTTGATAATAAGGACTAACATTTGGGTAAATGACATTCTTATTATTACGGGTCATATTGAATGATCTATCCTTAATATCGTGTCTCCTTAAGGATTTCTCTTTTTTGAGTTTTCATGCTTGACTAAGTAATGGTTCCTTTATCCAAATAATGTTGAATGTTAGGTTTGTATCCTCAGTCCCTCTCCTCCATAACCCTTGATAATAAGGACTAACATTTGGGTAATGGAATTCTTATTCTTAAGGGTCATTTTCCACATATATGATGTTTCTACTATGTTGTTATTTATTTTGGTACTGATTCAGTTTCTTTTTATATGTAAATAATGCCGGATAAATTGTTGAGGCTCTTTGTTGCTGTGCACTTGTGCTAGCTAAGTGTAGGGACAAAGCGTACTTGGAGTTTGGGAAATATAGTGGTGCAATATTGAAGCTGGTTTAGGTGTATATAGGTATCTGCAAACCAGGAAAATGTATCCTTGCATTTGAGGCTTTGCCTATGTTGATAGGTGGTCAACCCCTATATTTTTTTATTTGCTTATGAGGTATAATCATCCTAATGGATCTTGATTATTTTCTTGATCATTTCATGGTATTAATTACTGTAAAATACAAATTTTCTGGGACTTGTGGTCTTCTGGTAGTTTGTTCGACTTGTTTTCATTGTCTTAACTATTAATTGGCTATACGTAAATAAGCATTGTCATTCAATTCTTTCTTTCCCACTTCTTTATGGGCTGTTTTATCTAATCATAACTCATCATGTCTTGCAGAATTCCAGTCATGAGGCTCTAGTTCGAAGTTTTCAGTTAGCGTTTTCCTTAAGAAGCATTTCTCTAGTAGAAGGAGGTATGCATTCAATCTCACATTATTTTTGTAGAATGTAAGGCGCGTATTGACTGATCTTTGCATATCGCATTGCATACTTTCCCAAAAGTACCTATATGTTTTGGTTTATTTATGCATCAGAATCTACCTCAAATATCTTATAGGGATATGGTAGAGCTAGTATTAGTGCTTGTGTCATCCTCTTTTTCTCTTGGAAACTCTGCACATTCAAAATATAGCTACACTTTTCCATTCTTGAGACATTTTGTAATTGGAGACATTATGCTGATGAAATCTTCATGAATCTCATGTAAAAACCAAACTGTGGAGAACCTATAATCTCCGTCAATGAATTTCTAGTAGTGGTAGAGAACAGTGGCAGCGACCTTTTAAAGTATATAAAAGGCGTGGCAAGGAGGGTTTTAATTTGGCACATGCTAGACGATGGGGGGCTACTTGAAGTCTTACATAATTAGGGGGTTTGGTCAAATTGCATTATTTTGGTAATTGCATCAATTATGGTGAAGTTGCATTGTTTTGGTAAATTGCATCAATTAAGTTATTTGTTGCTTTATTAAGCTAGAGTCAACTTTGATTACCTCCATTGTATGGTAATCCAAGGGTCATCAGTTATTATAAAAAGGATACTATGTAATTCTGTTTAGTCAGTCCATGAATGAATAAAAAAAGTCTGTGAAATTTCTGTGTGTGTGTGATTCACAAATTCTGAGGGTGTGAGGCCTTCTCTAGGTGTGATACCTAGGCCCTGTAGGGTAATCCAAGGGTCGTCAGTTATTATAAAAAGGATAATATGTAATTCTGATTACTCAATGAATGAATGAATAAAAATATCCTTTGAGATTTCTTTGTGAGTGATTCACAAATTCTGAGGGTGTGAGGCCTTCTCTAGGTGTGATACCTAGGCCTTGTTGGAGTGATTCAAATAGGTCCTTTATTTTTTCTTTCTTTCTTTCTTTCTTTCTTTCTTCTTCTTCTTCTTCTTCTTTTTTTTCTTTTTTTTTTTTTTTTTTTTTTTTTTTTTCTTTTTTTTTTTTTTTTTTGTTATTTTCAATCCTTCTTCTCTACTAACAACTCTTGAACAATAGCTCTGTTTATCTGAATTTCCAGCCACTTCTTCTTTGTTTTTCTAGATTTCTACTATCGAACCTCCAAATTTCAGCCCTAGTTCTTTGGACTTTCAGCCTCTGAATTCTTTAGTTCTTAACTATTTAAGGCTTCTCCCTTGTCCTACATCAAGTATGGCAGCTTGTGATAGCTCTAAGTCTAATTATGTGATGTTGTGGCCCGAATTTGGTGCCGGTCGCGTTACAACCCGCTAACCCATTGCTCTAGGGGATCGGGGCCTTGGACCCAAGGAAATTTTTTTGACCCATTTTTGCTTATGGGTCGTGGACCCTAATTAGTACTCTCTTGTAGCCCAAGATATAAGGGCGTTTAGGGTTTGGAGTGGGCAGATTGAGAGACACTAAAAATCGTACAGAATAGAGAGTGTGGGGCTGAAACTTGTAATCTCCGATTTTATACATAGTAAAGATTTTCGCCTGATCTCCACTGTAGACGTAGGCTTTGCCGAACCAATAATAAATCTTTGTGTTGTTTATGTGATGTGTTTACTTTTCTGTTGTGTTTCGTGATTGTTGCTTGGATTCGCTGCGTTTGTCGTAACAAATTATGTAGCCTTAGCTAAGACAAAGAACGCCAATCAACTCACCAACAACCGGCACTGCCCAAAAGCAAATGCTTCCAATGCTGTAAACTCTAGCTGGGGTGGTGTGACAGCCCTTAGCTGAATTTTCTTCTTCCATCTTTCCTACTTCTCTACCTAAGAACCATAAAAAATCTGCACTGAAACCAGACCACTCCCCTTTTATAATAACCTCGCAGTTTGTGGGAGAAGGCAATACAAAACTGCACATAAACCCAAGACCATGAGTATATATATAACCCAAGAACATGAGAATATATATACACACACAACAACAACAACAACAACGACAACAACAACCAAGCCTTTTGCCAATTACATGGGGTGGGCCACATGAATCCCATGTTTCCATTCCGCTCTATTTAAGGCCATAGTCTCGGTCAATTCACATGCTATCATATCTTTCTTACTAACTGTACCCACATTAACTTTGGTCTTTCTCTTCCCCTGGACCCTAGTATTACCCTCAATGGGACTCTGTCACTTTTCCTAACTGGTGCACTTAAAGGTCATGAATATATATATATATATATGTTATCATATCTTTCTTACTAACTGTACCCACATTAACTTTGGTCTTCCTCTTCCCCTGGACCCCTAGTATTTCCCTCAATGGGACTTTGTCACTTTTCCTAACCGGTGCACTTAAAGGTCATAAATATATATATATATATATATAAACTTTAACACACGTTGATCTGAACTCAACATAAAAGGTGCGCCTGGAGGAGCCTGACACTCCTCCGACATGCTGTAATGACACTTCCATGTGACATGATATTTATGCAGAAAAATACAGGTTTGTCAGAATTAATTGGATTTTACTTGCATCTGCTTTATTCTTTATATTTTCCGTTTTCTTGTATAATTATGTCATCATAATGACATAGTACATTAGTAGGGTTGCTTACACTAATGGACACGTCAACTGTTCAACTCAGGATGTAATCCCACTGTTTTTACAGGGCCACTGCCACCTTCACGTCGCAGATCCCTCTTTACCTTGGCAACTTCTATGATTATATTTTCATCGAAAGCATACAATATCCTTCCTCTTGTTGCGTGTGTCAAGGCTGCACTTACAGATAAAACGGTTGGTGCCTCATTTGTAACAAGCTTGTGCTCATAGTGGTTTATTTACTGAGGAGGGCTTCACTTAAGAATTCCTATTTTTTCCTTTAATGCTTGTACATGTGAGACTGACTGTTTAAAGCAATCAATATCGATGCAAGCCAGTTTTTCTGGTTTTCTTTCATTTTCCTCATTATCATTTAACATCTTGAATAACAAAGTTAACTCATTTGTTTTAATATTGTTAATACTTGTGCCAGGTTGATCCATTTCTGCATTTGGTTGAAGATCGCAAGTTACAGGCTGTTAATACTGGAACTCACCATCCCATAAATGCTTATGGATCTAAAGAAGATGATAAGTCGGCTTTGAAATTTCTTTCAGAAATAGGAACTACTGAGGACCAGACTACAGAATCCTTGGCTTCTGTGATTGTGAAGAATTTGGAAAATTTATCAAAGGTAAACATTCTTATTGATATTTTAATCCTCACAATAAGTTTTCTAATATTAAAGCATAAAGTTTCATACTTTAAATTGTTAGACTTGAAGCTTATTTGCCTATCAAAATGTAATAACACCACCAACAACTACAACAACAATGACTTTTAGCTTCTTTGTGCAGTCTGAATTGTCCACTATAAGGGAGCAGTTGCTCAATGTCTTTTTACCTGATGATGTGTGTCCTCTGGGAGCCCATTCGTTCACTGACGCTCCCCGAACAATATATCAGTTTGATTCAAACAACCATAAATCTCCGGAGGAGGTAGTTCCTTTGCATGCTCCCAAAAATTTCCATAGAACTTGAGATTTTATTTTATTTTATTATTATGGTGCAGGCTGGTCCAATTTTCTCAATAGAGGATGCCACACTCGCAGATTCATTTGAAAATCAAGCCGAACATAATGCACGGTTGGCCATCGAAACCTCCAATCTCTTGAGTGTCAATCAACTTCTAGAATCAGTAAGTTAGCTCACATGTTTGGTTATTTAATTTCTATTGCTTTGTTAATTAGGAAGGAGAAAATGATCTACCAGGAAGAAAATTTGCTAGTTAATTTGGAAGGAAAATATTAGATTGAAAATTCGTTAATGAACCAATTGGAGATGAAATGAAAGAAAATTGATTAAGATAGTTTGGACATAGTTGTTGAAGGCTCAAGGCGCACTAAGGCACTGTAGATCTTTTGGAGCCTAAGCACAAGGTGCAACATAAGGTGCGAGCCTGATCGAAGTAAGGCGCATGTGCGACACAAGGAATATTTTTAACATATCAATTCAATTGTTATTATTATTATTATTTTTTATTTTTTATAAGCAAGTTTTTATTGAAGGAAACAAACTAATACAGGAGCACAAGGGGTATCCCCCCTAGAATCTATCAATTCAATAAATTAGCTAAATCAACATACATATATTCTACTTGACTTCCTTTAGTGGAGGCAAAACCGAAACTTGCTTTGCTATCCTATATTAAAACATAGCTTCTCAAGCCCAAAATTGGCTCAAGTTGCATCACTTATGCATGAATCATATTTACAATCATAAAGAACAAAACTCGGTCAGTTATAAAACAGTCCTACCATATAATTTATTACTTGATTAAACCTAAGGTCCTAAATGGTTTTATTACACAATAACTTTAGGGTACCTTAATAACACAGGTCTTGGAGGTTGGACATCAAGTTGGGAGACTCTCTGTCAGCACTGCACTAGATGTGTCTTACAAGGAAATGGCTGGTCATTGCGAGGCACTTTTGGCGGGAAAGCAGGAGAAGATGTCCTACTTGATGAGCAGCCAACAAAGACAAGAAAGTGTATTGAGCTGGGCATCAGAAAACTATGACAAAGAGGAGAGAAAGGCAGGTTCTCATGCCATTGTTAACGGGGGTTTCCAAGGGGTACTTTCTTGCTTTAGTGAACTTCAACTGGCACCTATATTGATGTTATTATTCATTAGTACATACTTTTGCTATTCCCCTCTTGTTACTATTTCAGTTGCATGCGCTATACGAATCATTGCCTTAAAGGCGTACGAGGGTTGGGCATATATATACATAAATTATGTCCACTTACTTTTCCAACCTAGTTGCGTATCACTAATCACAAATCTAGAAGTGCATGAGGTTTGCCTTGAGATTCTACTGCCACACTTCACTGCACACATTACGAAGTGTTCATCATCATTATCATCGTCTTCATCATCATCCTTGCTTTAATCCCGTGTGAATGGGGTCGACCATATGATCTTCTTTTACATTCTTTTCTATTACAAACCACTCTTATATATTTAGCATATTAAAATCATTTATAATAACTTCATTCCATGTTAGTGATTACCAAGTGATGTCCTTGTTAATTGATAGTGCTGGAAGGGGTAAACTGGATATAGACCTAACCTTTGGCAATTTTGCTCAAAGTGGCTGCTCTTATTATTTTACCACTGCGCAAACGTACATGTTTATATTTCAAGATCTTTTATTCCCTCAGAGTTGAGGAATTGATGAGGTCCTAATGCCTTACCTTGTGCTTTCACCTTTAAAATGCGAGTGTCATTGCCTCTTACTGAATCAGTCTAATATTGTGAACCTAATAAAAAATTGCAGGTGGGAAATCCTTTTCTGGATCAGAAAACTCCAAATCCAGACATAACATCTCTGGGCACTGTTACCATGCCGTGTGCAACTGAATACCAGCATAATCCTCATGCCTTCAGGCTACCTGCATCAAGTCCATATGATAACTTCTTAAAAGCTGCTGGATGTTGATCCAATAGAAGTATGGGATCACACAACGTCTTGAGCCATAATACTTTAAAGGCATTGATGCTGCAAGTGTTGAGCTGACTCCCATGCCCGCAGGTTTTGATTGTGCAGCATCATGTGCTCTCGGGATTACATGGTTTTGCTACTTGGCAGTTGGGTGAATGACAGTCAAGATTTGTGATCAGGATTGATTGAGTCGGTCACTTGCTCAGGCTACATTCTTTCATTCTTTTCATCTTTTCCCCCTCTTTTTGCAACATTTGATTTGTGTCAGGCCACATGGGTGAGGCATCTTCCAGATTTCTTCCCCAACGACGGGTACGAAGTTTCGGCAATGTGTTAGGGTTTTCCAATCCTGGTTTAATTGATTTGATGTATAGAAAACAAATTTTAATTAGTGATTTTCGTTCCATCGTTATGATGGGAGTATACTTGAACTGCATTCGTATATTTGCGAAATTAAGTTCAGTAAGTCATATATAATATTCTGGGATAATAGACCCATATGATAAAATCTGCATTGTTGGTTCTTCTTTGCATTAGGTCTTGTATGAGCAGCTTGGTTGTAACTGTATGCTAAGTGGTAAAATTTCAATGATTTAATTAGTAATTCTTCAAATTAGTATTGAAAAAAAAAAATTACCTTATTACTATTATTGAAGCTGTGTAGGGCTTTGGTCCAGCAAAGAAAGAGTTATGTGGGTGTAACCTCTCCGAGTAGCAAAGTATTGCATGACTGACATTGAAATACCAGTTTTAGAATGTAGTGTGTGAGATCCGAATCCTCTCCCGTGACCTGTTATGTTAAGTTCGGGATGTACCTAACAGTATGTGATATACGGTTTACATGAGGAGATTTGCTTTCGTGTGGGCTGATGCTATTATTTTCTGCATTTGTGTTTCACAAGTCGCATGTTACAAAGGTGACAGTGATAGCATGTTGTACTTGAATCAGGGATGCACCAATTTTCTATTGTGTGGATGAGGAGAAATACTTCGTTGCGCCTGTTGCACCGTCGAACCATTCCTGTAATATACATGTTATTACACAACCTGTGTATGAACGGTTGTATGTGCCCGTTGCACGGTACAATGGGTGCAATGATATTTTTCTCATGAATGAGAGAGAGATGCGTTCTTGTTTAATAACAAGTTAAATCTGAACAATTTCATCAGCCTTGTTATTTTTGTAGATTTGGATTTTTTTAATTTTTAATTTTTAGAAATTTGCAGACATGTTCATGAAGAGGTCTTTGTAAAGACAATTGTTAGCATTTATAATTAATTTTTTACTTAATAAATCTTAATATAGAATTTGAGTTTGAGATCGAGTTCCATGATGAACTTGAAATTGAATAAATGAGCCAAACTTGAATTTTGCAACTAATGTTTGAGTTTGACTTGGAATGCTTATGGCTTATATTTGGAATTATCAGAGCACTTGCATTCCTTATAAGGTTAAAATTAAAAATTGAGTACTTACACAAAATGATTTTTTTATTTTTCTACTTACCAAGGAATAATAAAATAATTAATAGAAGTAGACGAGGGCATTACCTTGATTCCTCTATTTTTAGCAGGGTGGGACTTGGGCAGGTTGGATGGGTCAAGGGTTAGCCTGTGCCAAATCCCGAGAAATCCATGACGTCTCATCCTACGTGAGTTTTATGATTTTTTCATATTTCTCAAGTAATTTCAAATTTTAATAACCTACTAACAAATAAACATTAATATATATATATATATATATATATATATATATATATGTTACGTTCACTACCTTTGACAAAAATCAAGCAATGTATGCATAATATAAGCTTTATAGCAATAATAGGATGTCATATAATGAATCCTGATTTTTCTAATGTACCAAGCCTGCACCCTTGCATCAGGGTTGAAACATAACATGTTACCCAAGAAGACACGGGGGAATTTTGATTGATGATATTAAAAATATTCTAATTTTAAATATAAATTTATAAACTAATATTATATTCTGGGTTTTTTTTGAATCTTTCGCGATCTTCGGATTACTAAAACATTTGTTCAAATCTCGTCAAAAAAAATTCAGGCTCTAAAATTTAAATGCCGTCCCATCTCATGGTCTCAAGTACCTTATTCATTCTGACAAAATTTTCGGGCGGCAATTGGTTAGCTCCACCCCTAATTTTTACTCTAAATTATATATTTATATGTCTGTTGGGCCATCTTGAGAGAGTCCATTTTGGTTGGGCTTCTGTTGGGCCATCATCAATTTTGCAAACCCAATGCAGCGTCAACGCTGTCGTATTTTTTGCAATTCAAACGGTGCCGTTTCATCTCTGAGATGATTCCTTGAAAAGCCTAGGAACGTCTGCGGAAGTCACAGATAAAGTTCATCGAGGTGAGCTCTCTGAGTCTCCGCCATCTCACTTTAGATCTTCACTATTTAGCGTCAGAAAATTGATTTTTCTTTTCTTACTATTTCATGCAGGTTGTGAGGTTCATTTCTATTGACTTATCATCTTCCTTCTCAGGAAATTTTCCAAACTAACGTTCATCAGAAGTTCCATTGCAACACGGTGTAATCAAAATTTAGGGCATTGGTGCTAGGTTTTATCATTGCTTATTGTGTGCTCGTACGCATGAATGTATGTGTTTTTGTCTGTATGTACATAAAGAGACCATATAGAAGATTTAGGGTTTCAAAGGTAGGCTTTAGATTGAACAATCAATGGGGCTGTTGTAAGAAGCTGTAAATTGTAATACTTTTTGGGGAAAAAAATGGAATCATATTTAGTAACAAAAATTTGTTTTGAGAAATTCAAAAATTTATTTTAATTCATTTGTCAGAATATTAAAATACACATTATTATTAATTTGTTACAATATTAAAATACATATTATTATTAATTTGGTGATATGATTTTTGATTAAAATTTTTAATATGTTATAAACTATTTCAAATTAATATCAGCCGGCCCAAACATAAACCCTAACAATTTTCTCTTTTTTATTATTAAATAACAATTTTATCCTTATATTTCTTTCTTCTTCTTATTGTTTTTTCTTTTTTAGTAGCAACTCACCGCCCTTTCTTGAACCGAAGAAAAAAAAAAAACTCTGTATCTTTTATTATCTCATATTAGCCCTAGACACGGAAAAAATAAGTGTAACTCTACTTCCCAGCAGGGCCGGCCCTGGCCCAAGCCGACCAAGGCTGTCGTCTTGGGCCTCAGATTTTAGAGGACTTCAAAATTTGAGGCCCATAGGGGATGGAAAAATAAATAAAATAAAAATAAGTTGGAACAAGTTTCAGACGACACAATCTGCTTCGACACTCCGCAGGGCGCAGCCTCCTCAGATGACTAGGTATGTTCATCCTCTCTCTCTCTTCTCTTCTCTCTCCTTTTGCATGAATCGATCTTTTATATATGTTTCTTTCTTTCGTTCATCTCATCATTTGATTTGTTCTAACTTTGGTTCGTTTGATTCGGGCCTTTACCTTTGTTCCAATAGTGAAAAGTAGCTAGGGTTTTGTGTGTGTGTGTGTGTGTCACTGTGTGTGTGATGGCTATCAAAAGCTGAATGAATATATTATGGTTCTCTTAGTATTTTAATAAATGTGTGCCTTTCTACATGTGTCTTTCATGGCGATCGAGTCCATAATCTATGGCAGGTACTTTTTTGTTTTTCCATTTTCACATTCAATCCCACGAAAATTAAGGATCCCTTCTAGTGGGTTGAGGTAATAATTAACTTTTTCGATCTCTAAATTATGCTCATACTTAAAAGTGCCAAATTAAGGGGGTTTTTTTTATTTTTTATTTTTATATGAAGATACATACCACCATTATTGATGTTATTTGAAGTTGGCTCAGCTAGAATTTCAGTTAATAATACGTCAAAGCACTTGCCATCAGAATGTACAAACACATGGAAATCAAGAGCAGGCTTTAACAAAACAAAAGTTAATGGTTTTTTCTATTAATTTGCACAGGTCTTCTGTAGCAATGATCAATCAATCACTGCAGGTAATTGGCTCCCAAAAAAAACACACACAAAGTGTAGTGTAGTTAATATAAAGAGTGAAAGACAAAACTATATATGATAGTGGATGCCACATATAACCTAAAAGTCCCACTACTTCTTCAGTCCTACAAGTTCAGCCTCCTATATATATGTATAGTCACCTCATCTCCACATATTTTTGTCATCTGTAATAATCAAATTTTAGTAGCTATGTAAACAATGAATGTAAAAGAAGCTGCAGTTTTCTGTTCTCTTAATTTTTTACTTTGTGCCTGTGAAAATTTCACACTCTTTAATTGATAAATTTATTGTTATTAGTTAGCTGTCTTATGCACATTGCACATGCGCACAATTATTTATTGGTGTTGATAAAAATTTATAGTTATTAGTTAGTTGTCTTAAGCACACTACACAGACGCACAATTATTTATTGGTGGTGATAGATTTATACTTATTAGTTAGTTGTCTTATGCACAATGCACAGGGGCACAATTATATTAGCTATAGAATTTGAAAACATCGTGTTAAAATTTCTCACTCTTATAATTCTTTTTTGCGCGTGTGAAACTCAAGAGCCTCACATTTGAAAGTTTGCCTAGGGCCTCTCAAAATATTTGGAATCTCAGGGCCAGCCCTGCTTCCCAGCCAATTTTTTGTTATACTTCAGTCCTTTCATGACCAATCTTTTCGCGGACCTTGAGGAGGTTGGCTAGACTGGATTTTTATTTTTTACCATTCTTTCGGCTCTCATTAGCTTCAAAGCCCAATTATACCCATATAATTATATAGGATAATTCCATAAAAATGGAGTTTTGGGGGTCAAAGGACAAAAAAATTGGAGTCAAAATTAAGTTTTCCAAATTAATGAAATTTTATAAAAGTCTGACGTGGACATGAAAATTTATTATACATCATCTTTTTATTCCCAAAACACCTTCTCTCATATCTAGAGAGAGAAACTCATCTATAGCAACCCTTCTTCCCAAGCGAACAACCAACAATTCTATATGCCATCTCTCTCTTTTATCCACCTTTCCAACAAACCCATTTAAAAAAAAAAAAAAAAAAAAAAAACTGCAAATCTTTGTTCTTCCTCTCACGGTCCCTCCAAAACATCTTTTCCTCCGAACCCGATTTAAACCCAAAATCCATATCATACAAAAGAAAAATCAAGATCCAAGTTGAGATTTAAAAACTCAACACGAAACATCATTAAAAAACCAACACAATCCTCTGTAATGGTCGATCCACGGCTCGGCAATACAAAAGGTTGATGCAAATGCTTGTGGATCCACAAGAAATCTTCAAGTGGGTCTATGAAATCCAAGTCATACCATAAAAATTGGAATATTCACAAATGAGAACTCCTCCTTTCTCCATTTTCCTGGAAGGTTTACAGTATCAAAGTAGCAAATATCTAACTTTTTAAAAAAAATAATAATAATAACAAATATCTCTCAATTTCTAGGGTTTGGTTGGACTTGGCGACGTCGGTGATTTTGACAGTGTGTTTCGGAAGTTTAAGAAAGGAGGAGTTGCCCGAGAAGGAAAGTTTGAGAGGATTGACATAGATGGGTTTCTCTCTTTAGATATGAGAGGGGTAGTAGCATAATTTCATAACAACTATAGAAGGGTATTTTGGGAATAAAAAGATAATGTATAGTAATTTTCCATGTCCACGTCAGACTTTCATAAAATTCCATTAATTTGGAAAATTTGATTTTGACTTCATTCTTTTGTTCTTTGACCCTCAAAACTCCATTTTTATAGAATTATCCCTAATTATATTGTTATAAATATATCCTTCAACTATGTTAATTATGTACTTCAAAAGCCCAATATTACCAAGTAATTGAACATTAGTACAATACTTCTATATTACTTATACTATTACAGTTTTTCTTTTTTTTTTCTTTTACGGAAAGTATATAGTTTTTATAGAATTTATATAATTATAACACTACTTACAATATCACTAATTAGAGATGTAATATAACTATATATGGAAAAAAAAAATGGAATATTAGTGGGCCAGCGAACTAAAACAAAAAATTAAGACTCTACATCAAACTAAGGAGGTAAATCAAATGGATTGGGCCCAAGACTGGGTAGTAAAAATAGGTAATTGGGTTGACCGCTGGGCTCTGAAGGCTCTGTAATTTTATACACAATAAGAGTGTATATTATTACTATATTTTAATGCTAACTGGAAACCAGTCCTCTCTCCATACACTCACCATCATCCTCACCACCGTTAACCCTAATTGACCGATTAAATGACAAACCAAAATCAACCAACATTTCTGCTCAGTTTGGAGATCTGCCGTTGGTACGTATTCAGTATTTTACTCTCTTTCTGTATCTGTACATGTATATATATTTGTAGATCTATATCGACAGCACGATCACCAATCCGTTACTGTTCGAATGGAATTTGATTGATTCTTTTCTTTTCAACTTATGGACTTGTACAAGATTCGTTGTTGTCTACTCATCTGTTTGTTATTGTGTGTGATTACTTGGATCTGCCTTTTGTTTTTCTGTTCTCTGGATTTAGTTTCTTGGCAGTTGAATTTTCTTCATTAATCAATAGATCTCCAATTTAAGTGTCTTTTTTCTGTTACTGGTACTTAAGCTTCTCATTTTTGGGTATATGATGTATAAATATGTGTGCATAGATATGTATAGATGTACACCTTTTAGGTGTAGGCTACCCCCTGATTTTTATTAATTTCAAGAATGAAGAATTGAATTAAGAGATCAGACTATTTCTTTATCAGTCTTATCTCTAGTGGTCAATCAATAGATCTGTACTTTGTGACTTGAAAACGTATACTTTTCAAGAAAATTCTTGACTTTCCGATTGTGTGTATGTCCGAAAGTTCCCATATTAATACAACCTATCCAGAGCACACTAGCTATGATGTTGTCTAATTGCTATGATATTGTGGCTGCTCTGGGGCTTGAACTCGTGCGAGTGGCGCTCGATTTACAGCTGAACCAAACAACCAACTCGACAACAAAAGACTCCTATCAATTAAGGACCTAAGTTTATTAGTCTTTCTGAACATAAATGAATGAGGGAGGAAAAAAAGAAGAAAAAAAACGCCCAAGATTCTTCACAAAATCCTATTCAACAATTCACCGCTTACAATTTACAAATTACCGCTTACAAAATCCTATTCAACAATTCACTGCTTACAATTTACAAAATCTTTTCCTTTGCCATACGGTTATAGTTGAATGGCTTGTGTTAAGTAGAACTCAGTCATTCTGTAGAGAGTGATATTCATAAAAGAGTGCTTTTTTAGGATATTTGAATGGAATTATTTTGTTTTACTTTCTTTCGGTTTCTTCCCTCCCTCAACCCCCAAGGAAAGTTGGTGCGTGGGGTGTGTTTGGGGAGGGATAGGGGATTGTTGATGGCTTGTGGAAGCACTCTCACTGATTGAGGAGGTGAATTATCTCCCGCTGGGAAAGATGGTAAGTCAAGTGTGAGTCTTAGTCGCATTCCTACAATCGGGATTGTTGTTGGTTTGTGGAAGCACTCTCACTGATTGAGGAGGTGAATTATCTCCCGCTGGGAAAGATGGCAAGGCAAGTGTGAGTCTTAGTCGCATTCCTACAATGTTACCCAACACAGAGACACACGAAAGACTGGGAACATTGCAAAGGTCTTAGATGATGTATTAATTAAGAAAATGGCTACTGATCTGTGACTTTGTAGGCTTGATGTACTACAAAAAATTACAACTCTTGTGGAGACTATCTGTTACAAGATTCTCTGATCTGGTTTTGTGATGTAGAATAAGTACTGGGCGCCACTCTTCCACAAACCATAATGATGTAAGGAAAGAGTTAGAAACAAAGAATTAGTGCTACCTAGGGTACAATGGTCGATAGGAGTAGGTTATGGTAGTCTTGTTGATTTTAGGTCGCTGTTGGCTTCATAAATCTGAAGTGATTGAATCTACTAATTTTTTAAGGTGCTTGGCCACTGGAAAGTCAGGGGAATTTGTTGCTGGTAGTTTTAGGTAGCAACTTTTCTACAGTGGTATTGAGTAATGGGGAGAAGGCTTATAGGGTACCTAGTGTTTTATGGTTGCAAAGAGTAGGCTTTCAGATTGAAGAATTTGATGAAACCAATGGCAATTATGGGGCTGTTAACAGTAAACATGAATAGTAACATAGGTTTTTTTGTAGATTAAGGTTTGTAGTTAACCTTTGTTAGATGTGGATTAGATTTATGAAAGTGAGGTTTTAAGGCTGGGAAAGAGTAATTATTAAGGCCTGGTTGCTAGCTTATACAAGTGAAGAATAACATAAGAGTTGAGGAAAGAAGAAGTGAAGAAAACTAAGAAGAAGAATTGTATAGTAGAACTGCAGTTATGTGAGGATTAGCTTTATGAAAGTAAGGTTTAAAGGCCTGGAAAGAGTAATTATTAAGGCCTGGTTTCGAGCTTATACAAGTGAAGAATAACATAAGAGATGAGAAAAGAAGAAGTGAAGAAAACTAAGAAGAAGAATTGTATACTAGAACTGCACTGCACAATCCCAAGGGAGTTGAACATCTCCAACTCTGACTATGACCATGACTCCAAAGGTAGAAATTTGGATTTTGACTTATAAAAAACATCTATACCTGCTAAAGCATGCATATAAAAACCCAACAAGACTTGACTCAAAATAACACACATATGTCTCTCTACTAAGACTGATCTCTACAAAGTTTTAAAATAATGAGAACACCTTAACTCCCAAAAGATAAAAAAGTAACAACATAAGAAATGTATATAAAATTGAACCAGTGGCAAATTAGCGTAAAGTAAACACAAATAAAATCCAAGACTAACTAAACCTTAGTTGCAGTAAGTATTAACTGGATTCCTCCTTGAAATTGAACCAGTTCAGATATTTAGCTCTCTAAGTCTGATTTTCCTTGACCCTCTTATAGATTTCGTCACTGTAGGCTCCAAATCCTACTTGTCTAAATAGAATAAATAGAAGCCATGTAATTTTTGTGTCTCCCTACTAATATATCTGGATTCTGATGTATTTGTAATGGTTGTTTTTCCATGATTTCGAGTGGTATGGGGCTATATTAGTGTTCTCTTTTGTTGCACCAAAAATCTTTAACATTTTATTGGGTCGTTCAGCAAGAACAAAGTAAGTGTTTTCCCAACTATCTGGGGTTGGTTACAAATACTATTCTTCCATTCCACTCTAAGGTTATAGCACTAATTCTATCCACGTTAACTTTGGTCTTCTCCTTTCGCTAGCATTACCCCTAATGTGGACTGTATGACGCACTTAAGGTCTTCTTTCCACATGTCCAAACTATCTGAATTGATTTTTTCTCATTTCATCTCAAATTGGTGCTACTTCAACCATCTAATTCAATTCTTTCTTGTCTTGCTGCACATCCTTCTCAACAATTTTATTGGATCTTACGAATCCAAATTCCTAAAACTGTATTTCCTACCATGTACTGAGTAATAAATATTTTGTTTCTAGAAAAATTATGTAATAGTAGACACGAGGTGGTGGTGCTTTAATACCATGTACTGAGTAATAAATATTCCTAAAATTACAAATCCAAATTCCTAAAACTGATTTTTATTGGATCACGCGAGGTGGTTTTACTCTAATTTGATCCTATTTCATTCATACTAGACAAGACACATGCAAATATTGGATTAGTTGAAGAAAAACTAGAAAAATTATGTACTAGTAATTGATATGGAGAAAATGAGATATTAAATTTAGTGATTGTTTATTATGAAAAAGTAAGTGCAAGGATACTTCTTCCTTGTATTTTTGCTCTGTTATGCCTTGTTTGGCATTTGACTGTTCCTGTTCTGGGACTCCCTGCTGTTTTTTGTATTATTTTGTTCTTTTTAATTAATTCTAAATTGCCTAAAAAAAGGTGCAAGGATATTTGTTTATTTCATATTTGTTAGTCACTTACTTGCAGATTTGGGTTAGATTAATGTAATATTGCAAAATACAGTATTTTGTTGGTTATTTTGGATGTAGAAGAATATGTAGAATTAACATAAATATTACAAGGAGAAGAAAAACCTGAAAAAAAACTAAGGGTCTGCTTGGTACAATTTTCTAAAACAGTCCTCAAGAACTCACAAAGCTAAAACTGTCTACAAAGAACTATAAAAGGCTGTTTCCTGAAAATAGGCATTTTTTTTTAGTTGAGTTTTAACGAAAACAATCAAATAGATTTCTTTTACAGTTTTCTAATTTTCTGTTTTCAGAAAGTATGAAATTGTTAAAACTGAAACAAACAAGCCTAATTGACTTAAAAGAAAGCATTGAGAACTTGTAATTGCTTTCTCTTATCCTAAAATTAAAAAATTGATGTGTTCTAAGTGTTGCTTGAAAATGTGAAAGTTTGCATGAAGTATGAATTTGAATCCTATGTGAAATGATAGTGATAAGTGATGACAAGGGACTATCGCCCTATCAGGGAATGTAATTTGGTATTTAGCTCCCCTTTCTGTTTTATGTTACATGTTTTTGGTACAAGAATACACCCGATAATATGTTTCACCAAAAAAAAAAATTTACACATGATAAGATGACAGAAGCTCCCCTGGTATCAAGCGCTGCTGCAGTCACATGTTTGTTTATAATTTTTGTAATTATGTGAGTAGTGACTTTATTTGTGTTACCTGGCCTCGGTTACATATTTCGGGTACTAGTATGTGTTTAAATGCCAGACCTGCCTAAATTTCAAATCTTAGGATTTGTGGACTCTGCTTAAAATGCGTACAAAACTTGGATGTGCACATGGACGTGTCTTGCACACTAAAAATGTAATATATATGTACCTTGATAATAATAGAAATTAAAAGGATATGGTGAAAAAAGAGAAATTTCATTTTTCTCGGAAGTTGGTAATCCTTTGTTACATTTGAGCTTTTCTTCTTCTTCCATCTTCAAGAACAAAGGATGCAGGCTTCTGATTTGGGTACGCCCATCGTCCATAGGTCAAATTGGATTTGTAATTATTGGAATACTTGTTGGAAACTCAAAGAATGGAGGATATGCTAACCAGATGACTTATATGTTGTTCTATATCTTAATAAATCTAGGAACTTGTGCTTGCATTGTATTATTCGGACACATATCCATACCCTTGCCTATGTCATATTGTGTGGACATAGGTAAGGGAATAAGAGAGTCCATGTGACACAGTAGTGCCTAGGAAGTTTGCTTTACCATATTTTATTCCGGACATCTGTAGATACTTCCAATCAGATCTGACTTTCCTCTTGTAATTGCTTTGTTTATCTTGTGTATATGGTTCTACAGGCTGTAATCTAGATGTCTATTTTGGTACTAATATATATGCTGCACACCTTATGTTGATATTTTGACTTTTTTGAGTAGCTGAGTTATATGGTCTATTAGATTATAGTGCATTTCCACCCTTTGAGGGTCAGGGTTCTTCTGTAGATCAACATTTCCTTTGCGATATTTCTCCCCTCCCCCCTCTTTTATGACGTCAAATTACGTTCTTGGTCTTTGCAGTTTGAACATGGCAGCCAAGATAATATCAGCTGTAGTGGGATCATTTGCACTTGCCTATGCATGCGATCATTTTATTGCTGACAAAAAAATATTTGGAGGCAAGTACTTTGTTTTATTACTGATCATTCAGTGGCTTTTTAGCATTTTTAACACCGTCACTTGCTTTGAGATCAGGTAATACCCCAAGAACTGTTTCAAGCAAGGAATGGTGGGAAGAAACTGACAAGAAGTTCCAGGCATGGCCTCGCACTGCAGGTCCCCCGGTGGTCATGAACCCCATCAGTCGCCAGAATTTCATCGTCAAGTCCAGCACTGAAGCTTGAATGTCTGTTGCTAGCCGGTGGTCTGTCAACTTGTTTTGCTTACTCTCCTTAAATATAGCTTCTTTAGTTCCAAACAATGATTGGCATAGATACACTTGTCAAAGGGATTGAGATGGTTTTGTACCGTTTATTTGCATTCTCGTTTTTGGACATGAATTGCTGCTTGATTTGCTGCATACTTGTTAAATAATAAATGTTGATGGAGCAATCGTGAAATGTTAATGCTCAAGGTTCCTCTCATATACATGATTTATTTTGAATATTAATTCTATATCCATATGTTTACAAATCAAATTAATCTACTCATTTGCACCAAAATGGACGAGTTATTGACAACGAAGAGTCCCAAGATTATATAGGAGGCAAGTTCTCAATTTCATATTCACACCTGTCAACTCTACAAAATCTTTTAGAACAGGTGAGGCATAGTCCTGAAGATTATAAGCAACCCACCCTCATTTCTTTTTGTGATCTGATGGATTGATCTCCTGTGCTTTGCACTCACAGTGGATATAAAAGTCTTTCCTCACATTTGGGGTAAAAGCGTATATAATAGTGTCTCCTCCATCATGCAGAAAAGAAATCCCTTGGATTAATTTTTGCACTCCTGAAAATTTTGGGATACAAGCTTTAATTCACAGCTGTGTGTTAACTTCAACTGGATGTATATTGATCACCAAGAGTTGTCCAGTTAATCTTTAAAATTGGGGTCACATAAATATACATCTTCTGTTCAACTTAATCCTTCAATTTTCTTCTTCTTTTAACTTAAATCTGCAACTACTACAACCAGGTTTTCGCTCTAGGTGCAAAATATTTCTTTAAATTTGAATTTGGTTGAAGACTGGCCGGCCATACACGTTTGCTCTTTACATCTATGTGGTAGGAACACGATCATGCTTGCCATCTTTCGTCATTATTATTCTTCCTGCCTGGAACAAGTTGAATCTATCATTCCATTACTCATCAATCATATACATGTTATGTTTGGATCATGCCTATAATTTTGAAGACTTGCTGCTTAAAATTTTCCATATTATAAGACGTAAATGCTGCATTCCATCCGGCCCGGGTGCAAAATGGTTCGAGTCCGTTCCCATATGAGGCCTAATTTGAACTCTTGCATGACATCCTTGCGTGATCTCAAGGCATTTACAATCTTTTATCTCTAAATTTTAAGTTGCAAAATTTTGGCGCGACAACCTCGTCGTATTCAATCATATGCTTCACTGGCTGTAATCGCATTTCATAGTATAAGAATTCTCAAAACCGAAAGTTCAAGGATTGAATGATGAAGAATTCCATAATACCGGTTCAAACAATCTCACAACTGAAGAATTACACACGCACACAACACACAAATTCTCATAGCAACCAAGTGGAAAATGCTACCGCCACCAATCCAACCCCAAAAATTATAAGATTCCAAGTTCGTTGTTCCTTCATTTTCAATGTAAACTGAACTTGTCGGAATAAGAATAAATAAAGTGTGTCATGCAAGTTTATAACACGAAATGCAAAGGAAACTTAAATAGACTTCACCAGATAATCTAGAAAACTGGTAACTACATGCCACTGCTATATTCATAAGCCTGGCGCTTCATAGAAGTATATATATGACGACTAGCTGAGACACACGCATCTCTCGCCATATACATCATATCTAGAAGCCAGAAAAATTCAATCATACAGTTGTAGACCTTATATGTAACAACAGATAGTCGGTGGTAATCCTTATTGGAGAACCACCCCCCACCCCCACCCCCCCCCCCCCCCCCCCCCCCCCCCCCAATTCTGTTACCAACTCAAAAAAATATTACAAGATGTCATTTCTCTTGAACCCTGTGATACAAAGCATGGAGTGGATAATCTGACCCATAAACCAACCAATCCAACATGAACAACGTACTCTTGTCACGTACCTTCTTTTGTGACTCACATTTTTTACTGACAATCAGTTGAATACTCTATAAAATGACCCCCTCGTACATCCTGAATACTGGATTCATAACCATCTGGATTGAGAAATTTGAAGCACTTGAATGAAGTTGATCTCCCCCACTAGTTTTGTGTAATTTCTTGAAGCATTTCCACCACCTTTTTCATTTTGGGTCGTTTTGCTGGTGTGGTGTCGGTGCAGAGTAATGCCACCTTTAAAGCGGAAAGCATTTCTTTCCTCCAAGCAAAGGAGACTGTGCTAAGCCTTGCATCCAGAATCTGCTCCGGGGTTTCCCCTCTTGCCGGTGCACTATGAACCCATTTCACCAAATCAATCCCTTCACCAAATTCCTCTTCAACTGGCAATCGGGTTGTAAGGATCTCGAGCAAAACCACCCCATAGCTATAAACATTTCCTGGTGCTGTAACTTGCATTGTATATGCATATTCTGTTAAGAAAACAATCCACGATAAGAAAGTAAATGTAGTTATTAACATAGATTGTAAGGAAAATTATAAAAAATCAATAAAAAAACAGCCTGATGAAGATAGATCACCTGGAGGTATGTAACCAAATGAGCCAGCAACAGCACTGATACTTGCAGTACCTCTCGATGGGTCCAACAGCTTTGATATCTCGACTTCCCCAACCAAAGGCTTGAAATTGGCATCTAGAAGTACATTGCCAGAAGAGATATCGAGGTGGATAATGGCCACATGATGAAGGAAAGCCAACCCTTCTGCCACTCCAACTGCAATGGCAAGCCTCGTTGGCCAGTCAGGCTTGTATTCTGGTAGCTTGGTAGACTCATGAAGGAACTGACCCAATGTCCCGTTGGGTAAGTACTGATGAAGCAAAAGAGCAACATCTTCATAGATTACAAAGCCAATAGGACTCATCAAATTATCATGACAGAGCTTACTCAGCTTTTCGAGCTCTCTAATCATTTTATTCTGGTGATGACTTATTGTTCTGTCCATGGACTTCAGTCTCTTCACTGATAAAATCAACCCAGATGGCATAACTGCCTTGTAGACAGTGCTGAAAGTCCCAGTGCTAAGTTTATTGGAATCCTTCAGAGTTGCTTTGACAACAGCATCAAAATCTATTGCTTGTCTAAGATTTTCAACAAAGACATTCCCCTCTACTATCAACGGCCGGTTGTTATTAGTCCCACTCTCAGGAACTCCTGCAGATGCGGCAGCTTTTTCTTGTCTCTCCCTCATCATAAACAGCAGAACAACAACTGTTACAGATACAAAAACTGCTAAACCAGAACCAATTACAGCTAATATGATCCTGTAAGAAACCCTGTGATGGTAATTGTCATGATCAGTGCCATTGGAATTTCCACAAGATGCATTCAATGGTTCTCCACAGAGCTTTCTATTCCCAAAAAAGCTTGAATTTGGACTCTTTTGGAACGGCACAAAGGTGGGTATTGGACCAGTGAGTAGATTATTTGAGAAATTAACCTCTATCAAACTTAGCATACCCTTAAGTGCAGATGGGATTGTTCCAGAGAGCTGATTATTGGAGACATCCAAAGAAACAAGCTTGTCGAGTCTCCCCAGTTCGGGGGGCAACGGTCCATGAAGATGATTGAAGCTTAAATTCAGTGCTATCTGCAAATTCTTGATGTGACCAATCTCTGGAGGGATACTTCCAGTCAGATAGTTACTGCCCATTTGCAATTCAAGCAATTTTATGCAGTTCCCAATGTCATGAGGTATCACCCCTCTAATTGAATTTTGACCCAATAACAAGTACTGCAATCTTGATGTATTGCACAAATCTTCTGGTATTGTGCCATTGAATCTGTTGTTGCTTAAATCAAGCTTGTTAAGATTCTTGGACCTAAGAATCGATGTTGGAATCTCTCCAAACAGACTATTACCAGAAACAATCAATTCCTGCAGATTCGTGAGCCGTCCAAGCTCTGGAGGGATAGTCCCAGTAAACCCATTTGAGGCTAAATTTAAGAGAGTAAGATTAGAGCATTGAGCAAACTCGGGGACAATCTCGCCAGAGAGATAGTTGTTGTCTGCTTCAAAGTATGTAAGGCTACTAACATTTCCAATTGCCTTGGGAATGCTTCCTGTGAACTTATTGTTCCCAATTCTAATACTAGAAAGGCCTTTGCAATTTCCAACCAATTCGGTAAGATTGCCACTCAATTCGTTCTGGGTCAAAACCAAAAAAATTAACTTCCCCGAAGCAAAAATGCTTTCAGGTAAAGACCCCTCGAGCTGATTCGAGTGAAGGTTCAACACTTCAAGCTCTGAAAACGAACCTAGATTATCTGGAATTTCACCACCTAATTCATTCTCATAGGCTGTAAAAAGTCTCAGTTTGGTCAAGTTTCCAACCCAAATTGGGATAGAACCATTCAATCTATTTGTAAATATTTGGAAATTTTGTAAATTCTTTAGGCCCTCGAGCTCATCAGGTACTGGTCCTGTGAGCAAGTTATTGGAAAGGTTCAATGATTTGAGGTTTTTGAGCCTACCCAACTCGATTGGAATCGAGCTTCCAAACTTATTTGAAGACAAATCAAGAAACTCAAGCTCAGATAAATTCCCAAAAGCTGGAGGAATTGATCCATGGAAGTTATTAAATGAAAGGTCAAGCCATTTTAATGCTTTGAGCTCAGAAACTAGAGTGACATTACCTTGAAGCGCATGACGAGAAAGATCAAGCCTTTCGACTAGAGAATTGTTGGAGCCACATTTAACGCCAGGCCAAGAGCAGTAACTTGTGTTGTTGAGACCCCACATAGATAGGCCAAGCTCTTTGCTAATTGCTAACAATGTGGTCTGATCATGGAGGGGCTGAGCAATCACAAGCTGAGACCTTGATAGAAACCCAACTAGCAAAATGGTGAACAAGTATGAGCATGCCATTATTAGGGTTTGTCTTCAGTGAAAGAAAGAACGCTGTTTATATCTCAAACCCCCAAAAAGAGCAAACAAGAACCCATTAAACCCAGACAATGCAAGATCAAATTTTCTTCACATTCGCCTCAAAACAAACAGTGTCTGTGCTTGTGCTCTAAACATTTATGGGGATTCGGAGATTCTTTCTGGTTTATTCACACCAAGAAATGCCTTGAACTTCAAAAACCCAGATAGTTTTTCAATATCTGAAGATGACCCTCTTCAGATTTCTTGAAATCGAAGCAATTCATAGGACACAAACCCTGTACCCTTCAAGGGTTAAAAACCCAAAGATCCAAATTGAAAGAACAGTTTGCAGAACCAAACAAACCCGAGCAAACAAAAAAACTGAAAAAAGGGGACTATATCACAGAACATGGGTTGTAATCAGAACACCAATCCTCTTTGTATCACAGACCACGAGAGAAAAGCCAAGCTAGAACGTGGGTTGCAGAAGAAAAAGAACAGTAACTTCTGCAAACGTTATGGAGTTGATGAACAAAGGATAGTACAGTGTTTAGGTACTGTTTTCACGGACCAGGTGTTTTTCTCTGTCTTAGAGAGAGAGAGAGAGAGAGAGAGAGAGAGAGAGAAAAAAAAATGAGTGTTTTAGAGAGAGAAAGGAAGAGTTTTGGTTAGGCACAGAGGGTGTTGCGGTTCTGAAAAGAATTGGGAAGAAAATCCTTCTAAGTAGTGTCACGAGCAACGAGCAGTCAGGAGTCAATGAAAATGTATGTCTAGTGTTTCAGACTGCAAGTGCCATACCTTCTGGGATATAATTCATGAATTCACAGTTTTATCTTTCCAATACAATTGCTAAAAATTGTATTTTAGCGCTGTGTTTTGAAAATTATTGAATATTCCCAGTAATTCTGATAAAACTTGATTTGTTTGGAGAAAATTCATATGTAAAAAATTTAGGATTATAGTTGAGGTATTATTTAAAAATAAATAAAAATTGAACTTTTTCGTTTTTGGGATTTTGACCTTACACGGAGTCTGACAGTCAAATTTGACTAATTCTATATATATATATATATATATATATATATATATATATATGTATGGGCTGATGATGTTATGAATATTAATAATATGGGGATGGTGTTAATCTTTACTCATATAAATCAGTCAGAATGATGTAAATTTCAACTCTAAACCATTATCTCAATTGTAAAAAATGACCAAATAATTTTAAGAATAGCCAAAAAAATTCATATTTACATTAATTTTGTAAAATGACTATAAATTCACTCTTGAGAAAGAGCTAACTTAGTACACGAAACTCACGTCATTACGGAGTTTGGAGAAAGACTTCTTTATGGTGTAACCTTTAGTGTCCAATGAAACAACCTTGCTTATTGTGCCAAAGTTAAAATTCAAGTTCTTAGGGATAATTAATTGTGTGTGCATTCTTAATTACCAATGAATATTTTTATTTCCCTTATTTTTAGGGTGAAAATCTATAAATAGTTTCCTTATGTCCAAACATGTCTTTGAAAAGATCAAATTTCAAATATAAAACCATGTTTGGACCCTGCAGTAATGTTATTAATAAAAGATGGCAGAAGGAAATAAATCTATCTATGCAAAAACCTAGGATTCCCTCCCTGTGGACTACTACTATCTGTTGTACATGAGCTGCGTCATTCTCAATAGACCTTTCAATCTTACAAGGACAATTAATACTGATAACAAATCCTCAACTTCCCTGACTAATTAGTGTATTAGAAATCTGAAAAAAAAAAAAAAATTTCTCGGACTGCTTGTGATCTTTGTGTCAGCTAAAATGACCAAATCAAGGTTGTTGAAAAGCAGAGTCTGGTGGATTTTTCCCTTTTAGGTTCGTTCAACTGGTCTTTGCATCAATTGAATGGTTACCTACATCCAGGTAGATCTCATCTTTTTAGCTTTGCACTGATGCCCCTATGTTATGCTATATTATTGATTTATATTATTATAGTAATAGTCTTCAATCAAAAACAACCTCTTAATCTGACCTCAAAAGTGTTTGGAGTTGTAATCAAAATGAAATGAAATTCCCCCACACCAGGCATGAACTAATTTTACGGTCATGACTCATCACAATAGGATGTCCTTTATCGGAGACTTCCATCATGCATGAAACTAAAATGAGGGCTTACTTATAATAGTTAAAATTTTGAGGTATCTTGTGAAATAACAAGAAATATTAAATTGAAAAGCACTACACAAACATAATCAAACCAAAGGACAGGGATAGACCTGCAAATATTAGTGATTTTTTATTGCTACTGACCTCTTTCCATGTCATCATTTTTAAAAAAAAATTTAATTGACTAGACAGAGTCCAAAGAATGACATTCATTAAAGCACACACCTACTACCAATTCTTTTATTAAAATGTGAAATAGACAGGCCCAGAGACTGATAGTTAAGCAAGCAACCATTGCATATTCAAGAGATTTCCTTTTCCAATCGGTGCTCATGACCGAATAACCTATGAAATATATGCATATTCTTGCATGGAGCATAAGCATATGGTTGTGCTTCCACATATGTGATACTAATAGGTGATAGGTCTCTTATTTGACTGTTTTTGACAGGGAGTTGGATGGTCTAGTTTTAAGAGCTTCCTTCCACAACCATATGCTTATGCTCCATGCAAGAATATGCATATATTTCATAGGTTATTGGGTCATGAGCACCTATTGGAAAAGGAAATCTCTTGAATTGAGAGAACAAATATCATATGTAAAAATATATATTTGGTAATATATTTTGTTAAGTACAATGTCAATATGACAGGTCTGTCCCATAACAGGCATTAGATATACTACAACAGATGACAGTGTTCATGGTCTTGGCCTAGTAGTGGTTGGGCCATCCAAATTTCTAACTACAGTTATGGTGTCAGCCTATAGATTCTCCATTATTTTTTTGAAAGTTCACTTTGGGAAGCACTCTTTGTCCTTTAATTGTTCCCTGTTTCTTATTCTTTTCATTAAATATATAGTTTTAAGGGGACATCTTTAGTAGTTGTAATACAATTACTAACATTGAGATGATAATAAATTGTGATCAATTTTCTACTTACTCTGCATTAGAGGGAGGTCAAGAGTACTGAAGCCTTAACTTTTTATTTTATTTTATTCATTATGAAAGATGATAGAACTTGAACATAATGAGATAAGACTAGGGTTCACTTTTAAAGACAAAGGTACAAAACTTATTAGGAAGTGGTTTCTTACTTGAATAAGTAGTTTATTTATTAAGAAAGTTTAAACATGCCATGCGCACATTGGCAGTATTACACCTAACAGTAAATTAAAAAAAAATTAATTACATCGGTTGTGTTAGTGACATAATATGATTAGATATTGACACGTACCGGTAATCACTAAAATATAACACTTTTACTTATATAACATGATATAATTGATTGATGATACAAATAATGAAGTATTAGAGTTGCAGAGAATTATTTTTCTTAATAATCGGACTTTTTACCTCCTTTTTAAAAAAGAGAGGACATACATCTAGGGAAAAAAAAAATTCTTAATAATCGAACTCTTTATTACCTAAAATGAGTGTGTGAGTGGGGTGTGGGAGGTTTTTTCCCCAAAAAAAAAAAAAAAAGAAAAAAGAAAAAAAATAACAATTCTTCAAGATGTCAAACTAGTTTTAACCAAATACAAATTAGGATACAGCAGAATGTCGAGGGCACTCTTCTAGCTTAGAGGATGAAAATGTCTTTATGACAAGGTGATAACATTTTACATTGCCAACACTGCACTAATGATTGATAATGCAGGCACTTTAAATATATATACACACACACACATTATTTCCCTTCCTTGAATTTGATTTTCAAAGTAATAACATTGCTTTTTGGCAAAATCAGACCAAGAAGTAGAGTACAATTATTTCCCAACTGTGCTTTTGTTACTTTGTGAATTATTGAAAGAACTCAAAAAACAACTAAAACTAGTGAGAAAGCAGCGGAGAGCCTGAGATGAATGATTCCATATGGTGTGTGGGAGCCACAGACATGGAGAAGGGGGGATTGTGGGGCCCTGCAGTGATGGGTGAGAAGAGGTTTTGGCACCTCCAGACATGTAGGGACAAGAGGAGGACATGCCTGTATGGCAGTAGGATGACCAACCACTATATATATATATATATATATATTGTACAAAACCACAAAGATTAAAAAGAGGTCACAACATTCACATTCCCGCTTCAAAAATCTTCACTCAAACATTAACTTTTGTTTAAAAAGAGCACATAGATGCCACTTTTAGACTTTGGTAAATTCAGACAACTGTAATTAATTATTGTTCAAATGTGAAATCAAAACCAATCTTAAAATTTAAAACTAGTATAAATAATAATTGTGATCATTGCTCTTAGTTTTTTTTTTTGGTCATATATTACTTTCAGGTTAACTTTTCACATAATCATGAGTTTTATAAAGAATTAATTAAGTATTAACGTAGATTAAGGCGAAAATTTAGCAGGAATCGAGGATTGAGTATGACAATAGAGTATAACCATAGTGGAAGATGCCATGGTAGTGCTGTTCTACCATGATTAAGTACTTGATCAAATCATTTCATCGTGCCTCTTAGATTAAATTTAATCAAAGAAAAGACAATAAAAAAAGTTTTGAGATTAAGAACTTTAATCATTCAGTTTTTATATTATGTTATGCTCATTGATTATATGTTTGTTATGGTATTTTTACATGATCACGGCGGAGCTGAAAATTTAGTGGGGAATTCATGAACACTTATGAGATTAAATTTCCCTGAAACAAAATGACAAATAATAAAATTTTATAATTATAATTAATAGATTTTTTTGCAATTTCACTACTAATGTGTTAGAAGTTATGTGTCAAATGTGCAGGAATAGAATGTCCATTTCAATTATTCATTTATTATTTTTTTTTTTTGTTAACTCAGGATGTTCGGGATAACACGAACCCTTAAGACCCCTCAACAAAACATCTAGCGGGACTCGAACTCCAGACCTTGGGTTAACTAAGCTCCAAAGCCTGGCGAGTAAACCGCTGGGCCATCCGAAGTGGATAATTATTCATTTTTTTGGTATGCAATTTAAAGTGGGAATGACCATTTCATTGGAATCAAAATCTATTCACCGGAATAAAAATTCATTCCACAACTAAACCTATAGAATGACCATTCAATTTCTAAGTGCATTTAAAAATAATAATAATAATAATAATAATAATTTAAATTCCCAAAACCCCTTATGTTTTAACTCCAAAAACCATCACTAGTTTTCATTACCACCACCACCACCTTCCACCATAACCACATTCGCATTTCGCCACAGCCACCTTTATTACCTTCCACCATCACCACCATTTTTGCCACCTTCAACCACCATACCGCCGCTGCCTCCACTATCTTCCACCATCGCTACCACCGCCACCGATTTTCACCACTGTCACTGCATTCCACCACTACCATTACTGCTGCCATCACCACCACCATTAGTTACCTTTCACCACCACCCCTTACACCGTTACCACCTTTCACCACCGTCACCATTACCGCCCCTATCACCACTACCACTTTTACCGCTATCACCACCACCACTTTTACCACTTCCACCTTCCACCACTGCCACTACCGTTGTCGTCACTACCACCGCTACTTTTCATCACCATCACTTATACCACTACCACCTTCCACCACTGCCACCACCGTTACTGTCGCCGCCTTCCACCACTGCCACCACCATCACCATT